AAAAAAAAAGGTTCCACTCCAGGAGTAATTAATATCTACAGCAATTGAATTCCATTAGATGCAGATCAAAGGATCACAAATAATACTCTCATTTAAAACTGACTCAGAAAGGCGAGAATACAATTTCAAACATTTAAACTTTAAAGCTAAAGAATGATTACTCTTCACTTCCAACAAATGGATTCCCGGAGAAATGTAAGGATGAAAGAAGGTGATAATAGGGGGGCTGCTAGAGGAACCATCAATTATCAATAAACTTAAAATGGTAACAAAATTAGTGTTTCATTTTCAGAAAAATAAATTATATCATAAATACTCAACAATTATACTCACACCAAATCGATCCTTATGTTGGGGTACACATGTGCGACCGACAAGTTTTTTTAAAATTTCTTGATGAATTGGGATCAGATTAGCCCTGCCAGCTAGTTCTTTCACAACTTTCATCCAAAGTTGATTTTTTAATACTTTCAAACTGCTCATACTATTTTTTTTCTCAGACAAAACTGCTGATTTACTTTCTTTTTTCTTCTGTTTATTGGGTTTATTTTTCTTAGTTGATACTGTTTTTTTTGCAAGAGTTTTGACACCTTCTTTCCTAAAAAAAAAAAGGAAAAAACAGAGATTAGCTTGTTTGTTAATTAATGCAATGTTCAGTTTAATCAAAACATATTGCCTATCAAAATGTCCATCCAAAGGTCCTATGTATACACCTGAAGGACCAAGAGATCCTCAGTCAAAACTTCAGGGCTAAGAGGACAGTACAGAAGAGCAAACCGGTTTCAACAGAAATAAGCCTGATGATGAATCTCTATCAGAAAAGCTGGACATAGTGACCAATGTTGAAAAATTCTCACCTTTGGTATGAAATAAGTTTTTGAGTACTTCTTGGCCGACAGATCCTTAAAATAATTCTAATATGAAGATGCATTAGTGAATACTATCATGGGTATGCAGAATTTTACAAAGAAGCATGAACGAAATCACCTCACAATTTTTTTATGCCAATCGATATAAACATGATCATAGCTTCTGTAAATATGCACTAGAAGAGTAAACTAAAGCTTACATCAATCAAACTTGTGCTGTAAGTATGGAGTGTATGGCATACCTATTCACTTTTCACTTGTGACTTTGAAGGAAATTTAAATTTTTGGAGCCAAAAGGGTCCAAGTCTTCATTGAAATATCAAACTTTTCAACATTATTCCCTCAAATATATGCCTGTCGCCATTTTTTCAGTGTGCTGGGGTGCACAAGCTAGGGGACTCTTTCAGTTATTAAATCATCGTTCCCTATGACTCTTTTTCCTAATAGTGTTACCTTCCTCCCTATTTCTCTCTTTTCATCAGATTCTTATGCATCGTCATCATACTTTTTCTGTAGATTATAAGCCGTATTTTTCAAATTTTCTTGCAAATATGAACTACTCACGCAGGTCAAGAGAGAGCAGGGGAGATAGATTATCCTCAAAAGGAATCAGAGAACACTCACACATCTTTCTGATAGCCGTCTAAGGTCTTGTCTCCTCAGGACATTTCATAGGATTAGTTCCAGGAGAAAATCTCACTTGTAAAGTTCGGAAAAATATTGAGTTTGTCAATACTAATCGCAGTACCATTTGAGAAAAGTCCTTGTGGAGTCCTAAGAGCGACTCAGAGAGAAGGAGAATAAATTTTGTTGCTTTGTTTAACGGGGAAAGAGCCCAGAAGTTTCATTCCTGCGATTCAAACTTGGGACGAATCCCATGAAACATCTCATGGAGCAGAGGCTGAGGAATGCATCAGCACTTTACTTAGTTTTATTATGGGATCCTGGAGAAGTCCATATTCAATGGCAAAAAAAGTGAGGTGGAAAAAACAAATAAGTTCAGACAATAAGTTCATGAAAGTAGGAGACTGATGAACCACTGATAAAGATGGAAGAAACTACATCTCTTCAAGTGGCTTACTTCAGAGAATTGCCAACACCTTGACCTGAATGAGAGTCCCAATGCTATGAACCAGTAACTATGAAAAAAAAAAATCATTATTGTCACTATCACTGATGACATAAATGATATACACAAAATGCTGACTGAACTTGATGTAGTAAATGGCTTACTTGGCTTGCTTCCCTTTCACTGCTTTGGGTGCAGGTGTTTCACCCATTACTTCATCCTTCTGTCCTAGAATGCTCATAGTGAAGCCTCTGCAAAAAAAAAAACAGCATGAATAATTAATTCTAGGTACTCAAGCGCGTAATTCATGGGAAACAGACTTGAATCTCTAAGGACAAGGTACATCATGATAGGTACAAAGAAAACTATCACAATGATTTACCTGGCAGAGAGATTCGCATTGCAAGACTCACCCATCAACTTTGCAGGACTCGGTGTCGAATTATCTTGTTCTAAATGTGAGGATAGGTTGCAATGGCAGGGGAAAATTCTGTCATCTTCATTACCGTGGACTGTTTTAATTACGTAATAGCACTGATGACGACAACTACATTAAATGTTGTTCATGTAGATGTCGGGAAACGAGGCAGTTAGGTACGGCAACGGCGGTTTACCTTGCTGCTTTTTCCTAACCGAGAGTGCTATCCCGCCCAACACGAAATATTGCAGCAATATTGCAGCAATATTGTCAATATTGAAACAATATTGTCATGTAAATATTTCCTTAAATACACTGCAGAAATATGTTGACAATATTGCTAAAATATTTCATGACAATATTGTAACAATATATTTATAAAAATGTTTTAAATATATTTACAAAATATATTTATGTAATTACTTTTAAAACAGTTTGTAAAATATATTTACAAAATAATTTAAAATTATTTTGGAAATATTAGTTTAAAAATATTTGTTTAATATTATGTTAAAAATATTTTATAAATATTTTTGTAATATTTAAAAATTAATTGCTAAAATGGCAAAAAATGGTTTGCGATTTCTGCAATTTGCTTTTTTTGCTAAAATGCCCACCCTCGTGGCGAGAACGACAAAACAATTTGCAAAAGTGGTAATTTTATTGTGCGAAAATGGCACTATACTTTTGCGACATTAACATTACTAGTTTATGCTATTATGGCTAAAATTTTTGCTAGATTTTCAAAATGTTTGCCAAATTAGCGTATGGTTTTGCTCTGTTTACCAATTATTTTGCGGAACTTACTAAAATCAATCGCTAGAAAAAAGAAAGGGGGGGGGGGAAGAAAAGACAAAAAGAAGGGAAAAAAATAAATAACATAACATAAATACATCGACATAAATTCAAACTAGGAAAAAGCTCAAATAATTAAAACTGGAAAAAGACGCAATTATAAAAAACAGTAATTTGGTAAAGAAAAAAATGAGAGAGAGTTAAAAAAAACGAAAATTTGTAATACATGAATAGGAATATGTTGAGTACAATTAAGAAAGAATTTGAAACACAAATTACAGGATGAAATAAAAAATAATAAATAAATAATAAATAATAAATTCTGGTAAAATATTATAAGAATCCGTCAATAAACAAACATTTTACGGACTCAGAGGCCTGCGATAGTTAAGAGATTGAATTTACGGGCCCATCTACATCAAGCCTGGCTGGTCTGGTGGTAAAGTACTGGACTTCGGATATCAACTCCACCCCGAGGCGTGGGTTCTAATCCCGACTAGGACGGCGCGGATTTTAAGGTCAGTAACAACTCTACGATCCACGACCTGGACGCATGTGTACATTAGAAAGAAAATTAGTACCAAAGGCGTCTCCTAGAGTGTGCGCACACGGATATGGAATATGATAACCTCATCGCAAGTAAATATTTTTAAAATATATTATCAATATTACCTTGACAATATTGCTGCAATATTGTCAGGGGGGCGGACAACAAACTATTGCAGCAATATTATTTCGATATTGTTAAAATATTGTTAAAATGTTTTTGACAATATTTCAGTAATATTTTTAAAATATTTCCGTGTTGGGCGGGTAATGGCTACTGAGTACCCCACAAGATCTCTGACAATCAATTAGAGTCGAACGCGATATGTAAAGAACTGTGATTATCTGCATGCATTTTCTCCAAATTTTGAGAAAGTTGGGCTGGCAACTGAAGGGCTTTTTTTCAATCCATGGAACGCATGGAACGTGATGGTAGCGGTCCATGGCTGGTTCAACCAGCCAAACCGCGGCTTCAACCAACCTCAAACCACATCGAAAGAGCGGTCCAAGCATTCCACTGGAACACATAGGACGCACCAGCGGAACAGGATAAAAAAAGTGATGTGTTCCGTGGCGACCCTATGCGGTTTGGATAAAAAGAAGCCCTTGAAGGGCAAGTAAAAATTTCTCCTACCACATTGACTGGTTGTCCTTAACCCATTCGCCTCACATGACGAATTTACTCGTCAGCGGGTGCGTTCCATGAGTTGCAGTGGAACGCTTGGACCGCTCTTCCAAGGTGGGTTGAGGCCGCGGTTAGGACGGTTGAATAAGTCCGAACCGCTGACATAGTGTTCCACGGATAAAAAAAAGCCTAATAGGTATCTATTTGGTTGCCGATGATATGTTGTCAAATCCTGGTTAAACCCATTCTTTATCAGTATGACAAAGAGGACAAAGGATAAGTCTGACCAATCACATAACTCAACTCTCCTTAATCTAGCCTTATCCGGTCGACAAACACAAAATTTCAGCAATCAGGCTGCTGAAAAAGTAAGATATCTAAGTATACATACATACCTTATATCACGGATGGCTACTTATAATTTTGTTAAATGCCGAACACACGCCTTCAATTATCACTGTGGATAAGGAGAATCGAGGATTAAACTTAAATTAGTTTCAGAGCAAATACTACAAGAAGCAGACCGAAAAACCACGTGTGATGAGGTTTCGTTGATGAGTTACCAAAGGAACCTAACCTCACTTCTTGGCATACTTCTTGGAAGCTCCAGCCATTTTGTTTTTGTTTACGCTAGCTGAAACCATAACCTGAAACTTTTCTCGTAATCAAATTTTTTGGACAATTCAGTGTTCTGTACCTTGAATTATCTCAAAGTATACTGTTCTTATTCGCTGTTGTTACATTACATCCAGTAGCAAAATGTTGTACCTCGAAGATTACCTAGAAAGTAAGACCCAATTTCACAATATTCACATCACTTTTTTATGTTCTTTTTGGAAGGCTTGACCCTCCTTGGGGATTGAAAGCCTGCGGCAACTCACATAATGCTCTTGCATTAATGCCATTACAGAATCTCAATTTATCGTTATATGATATAAAGTTTTTATATCTACTCGAACATCATCAAAGATTTCAGACTTTCTCCTTCCGGAGGCACTCTTGAGCCTTATCAACAAACCTCCGCTATCATCTGCGCTATCAAAACCTGCTATTTGCGTCAACATTGTCTTTGCATTGCTGATCAATGTTAAGAATTAAAATTAAGGACTAGTTGTCTTGTATCGGTTTTGTCAGCTGGAGTTGCTGTTGAATTAAATCTTACTATAAATATTTACCCCTCTATTAACGCGCATTTGTCTAGATGGCCAAGTTAGATAAATGCTAAGTAATTTTGATTTGGGTGCTCCAAAATTCTTGTTTTTACTTAATGTTATTTTCATAAGCTCTTAAAATATCCGATTCTTCTTTGATGTCAGATCTTGACCATGGGCTGAGCATTGATTACCAGCTCATTGTGGGTTACAGATGGGAATTACATGTTTCAAGTTTAGATTAGGTAGGTAATGTTGACTCGCTTGTTTGAGCCATTTTTCCATAAATGACGGTTAAACGTATGTCACTGAAAGTGAACTATGACAGGATATTCAGACCATACTTACGAAGCTGAAGCGCTAGCTTTTATTACGCCAACTTTGCTGTACCTTCACATGTCTTTTAAACATGCAAGCAACAGCTAAAATACTTAAAGTGTCAACTGAATAGTTCTGTCGAACTTCAATTTCATTTTGACTACTTTCAGTGATCGAGCAATTGCCTCAAGAGCTGTGGGATCGATTCACAGACATGAGAGAGTTAGATCTTCAAGTTCAAAGTAAGTTCTCCTTTTCTATTTTTTCTAATTTGTACCTTTAAGGATCACTACCCTTTCATTACAACACAAGTACAAGCTAAAATTTTACTGTAAGAACTTAAATGTTTCTGCCTGCCAAAGCAAGAGGCAACTGAATGGTGCTTCTTTTAAAAATCAGAGTAAAGTGTCGTGTTAGGAATGCTTCGTTGAAATGATGGCGATTATACATTTTTCCTCAGAGAAGGAATTTTCTATGTGTGGAGCTTTCTGACACTGATTTCTAACATGTTACTACCAACAGTCTTCATTGAACTATAAAAAATATGCATACATATTTAGGAGCCCTAAGTATGCCATGTGCCGTTCTAGCATGTAGTTGGAACCCTATGTTGTAAGAAAACACTATTCTCTACTAGACGAAGGACTGCCTTTCATTCCTTGCAAAGCATTCAATCATTGCTACTGCGTCAGTTTTTTTTTTTTTTTTTTTTTTTTTTTTTTCTCAGTCAGTAATAAAGTGTGGAACTTTACTGAATGTATTCCTTTTTTAATTTTTCAACATTGCTCTCTTAACAGTTCTGACCTTTTTTTTCAGATTCTACTGACAGTCTAGAGAAACGAGTGAAAGAATTTTTTTTAAATGCCCGAAGAATGAAGCCGCAGGACAAGGAAGCCGAGTACCAAAATATCAGAAGTGATTATTATAAAACTTTGGAAGATGCAGGTAAGCTTTATAAGATGGGTCATAGACAAGGTTCAACTCCTAAATTATTCACTTTTTGTTTCACAGAAATCTCTTGAACATAATGCATCAACATTTTTTTGGTATTGATTTAACAGCTGAGGATAAATTCTCAGAAAGTTTCAGGCATTATTTACTCTATTTTTTTCTGCTAACATCCTAGAAAACTGTAAGCATGAAATGATATTTTGCAACATCAGAGGCGGTAAGGTACATTTCTATTACTTTTGAACAAAATAAAAATGAAAGATTTCTCTTTTGACAACAAGTTATATTAGGTCTTCAGCACCTTTTTTCTGCGGTTTGTGGTGTAGTCCTCCCGGCTCATTAATAGAAAGTGGTCGACAAAAATTTTGCCCCAGAACTCCTTGCAAAGAACTTTCTTGTTCCTCGTGCAGGTTTACTTTTAGTTTATCACTGTTATTTTAGCATTTCTAGTATTCAGTGTTTAGGGGTAAGTATGAATAACACTTTTTTTTCCTCAACAGACATTTTTGTTTGCTTGAGTGGAGGCCAGTCACCTTTTGTGTGATTAAACATCCCCATCGCCAAATAAATGAACATGTACTACGGTCAATTTTTCACTTCATCTGGTTATTGTAATGAACATGATCTAAGTGAGAGTGCACTTTGGGAGACTTATAATGAATGGCATTATGGTCAATATGCTACATGATCAGTGGCGTTTAAGGCTGATCATGTTTTACCTTATAGTATTTTATATCTCTGAAACAGAACTCCTTTCTTATTTTACAGATGAAAAAATTCAGCTAGCCAACAACATGCATGAACTAGTGTCAAGGTACGTTAGAAGATTAGACCAAGAGCTTCACAAATTTAAAATGGAGCTTGAAGCAGATCATATGGGAATTACAGAAATTCTTGAAAGGAGTAAGTTTAGAGCATTCTTATCCAGAATCATTGTAGATTTGGATTGTATTTTGCAATTAGGAACTACTATTTCCAACTCTTTGTAAAAAAACCTATATCTATAGGGAAACTAGTGGTGTATATGTTGTTTCAACTGATCCAAACATTGTAGTTCCAAATTGCAAAGTTTAATCCATTTGTAAGCCTCCTCGATTTCCTTGACCACTCAGTATAATTGTACTACATTTTACTATTAGGAACAACAATTTCCGACTAATCTGTAGAAACATTTATGTACATAAAGAAATTATCTGTACATAAGTTGTTTCTAAACTGAACCAGAAATTGTAGTTCCTAATGTCAAATTGTAGTCCAATCGTAGGCAAACACTGTCATAGCCGACGAAGGCACTGAATTAGTGCTGAGAGGGATCTAGTGAGAGAGAATAATGCCCTATCAATCGCATTTGTGCAGATCCCTGACTGGATCCAGCATCCCGCGTGTATGTCATCTTGATGATTAAGGGTTGACACATGTAGTGGAAGACATCGAACCATAGCAGTTTTTCACAGATTTTAATTTCAAATCAGCTATCTCAGTTTGATGCTGCCAAGTCAGGAGTTGGAGAAATACCCACCGTAAAAACATAGAAGTTGTCTGGAATTTAGGATATTTTTTAAATTCTTTCGCTGGATCTGTTCTTTGTTTGTCTTCTTCAATGTATTCAAACCTTAAAAAAAATTGTGAAAGGCCTCCACTTTCTTGAGACCTTTTAACATCCCGCCCTCCCTCTCACAGTACAAGAAATAATGGAAATTTAAGGAAAGTTAATATAATTATGGAAAGATTCAAAAATTGCATGTTCTTTTTCTTTTCTTTTTTTTTTCTTTATTTATTTACAATGTAGTTACGTTTTTTCTGCTTTAAGTTTCTGACTTTATCTGTCACGAATGATTTTGTAAATGATTTGTTGCAACATTACAGGGGCAGCTGAGTCTGAGCATCCTTCACCCAGTTGTCAAAAAGAAAATCGTTATAGTTTCTCTTCCAGCAGGTTAACTAATAGTAATATGCAAGCTATTGCAAATAGTAAGTGTTTCAACTTTCTCTAAAACTAAAAAGCAAATGTGATTAATACTATATTGCCTTGCTAAGGAAAAACATTGTAAGAGCCTTCCAACATCGCCACATTTCCTTGAATTCATAACAAATTTTCAGGAGGACTTTTGAATATTTGTTTTCTATTTTTTGAAAGAATTCTATTAAAAGTTCAATCTAAAGTAGACATCCGGAAATTTTAAGGGAAGGTATTCAAAGCTTCATGAAAATATTTTGTCGTAGAAATGTCGGCAATGTCGAAATATTTATATGGCGTTCTTCCCTAGGATGGCAGTGCAGGCCACAGACATGCACCATTGCTCTCATCATTACATCATATAAAGGAGCTGATCTCCTGAATTCTCATAGCTTTTTTGCTGAGTCTATAAGAATTGTATAAGAGAGAAAATTTTCACCTCTCAGCCTAAAATTCACACAAGTAGGAACACTCCTTGAGGCAGCTTTTAGCATTGCCAAAATAAATATAAAAAAAGTTTGATTCAGGTCATACTGTGTAGTCCCTTCAGTACCACCAACACCCAGCACATCAAGATGCACAGTTACTAAACACAAAAAATTTATCCAAGTATGTATTAGAGCGCTCTAAAATTAAGTTAGTGGAATGGCTCAGAATTTTGGGTTCCTCATCCGCCCTCCAACTTGATCACATACAGTGAGACCTCGATTAATTGAATTTCTCAACTGGTGAATCAATCCGTGAAATTGCAGAATCTGTTAATCCGAATCAGCGTGAAACCTTTGAAGGGACCTGAAAATCAATCCGTTAAATCGCGGAATCCGATATAACATGATTTGATATATTGAAGTCTTCCTAAAGTTGGTTAAAGGAATAAGCTTGGACATTTAGAATACATCTAAACAAATCTTGCCTGTATCGTGTCTCTTTAATCAAACTTTAATTTTTTCACAGAAAAGAGAAGAGATTCATTAACAACAGAAGCACCAAAGCGACAGCAGTTATCGGATAAAACTTCTAGTGATGTTAGATTAAGTCAAAATACAGCCATGAATATGTTATCCAGTGGAACAATATCTCCTTCGCCCCCCGTTTCATATTCATTGGCTCATATGGGTGCAGGTGGAACAGCCATAGCTGCAGCTGCCTCGCAAGCCATAGCTGCAACTCAACAGGTACCTTTGTCTCAAGTTCCTCATTTCTAATAGTTCCCATTTGTGCTAAAATATTCAATTTTAGTCTTTTTTTTTCTTCTAATTTGTTCTATTATATTTTCCCTCGAATTTTTTTCTTGAGACTGCAGAATGCACTCTGCTTCTTTCTGTAACGTCTGCAAAAGTTATAGAATTTACTAATTTCAACACTCTTGGATTTTTAGGATTTGAAAATAAGCAAATTGGAGCAACATTCCCTCTGGTGTTCTAAAGGTTCTTTCGCGAGTATCAGCACATTGCTGACTGCCCACAGGAATGAATGAAAGATGTTAAATACTCTATGTAAAAGTTATTGAAGAATGCAAAAGATACAAGAAAAGTGTAGAGAATAATGTGTATCGATGTTAAATATCTTAATTAAAGTGACTTGCAGCAAAATTATGAAAGATGATGGTTAAGTAATACCAATAATCACAAGATGTGTTGTGTAATAGCAGCAGAAAAATCATAGGCATCCTTTTTACTACCATCTTAATACAGTCAAGATAGCGAATGTGATATCTTCACCTTCTGGCCAAAGTATCACAAGGACCATGCGACGTTTAAAAATTTCCAGCGCCATTTTATTTTTTTACAAAGAAATTGTTGAATGAATCTGTTCAAATATTTCACTGAATTTATCGGCAGCACAAAGAAAATTGAGTGACATTTTCAGACAGCTTCGTTGAACAATTTTTCTGTAAAAAAATAAAATGGTGGCGGAAATTTTTAAACTTCGTATGGCGTTTGTGATACTTTGGCCGGCAGGTAACGATGTATCGATGGCCAAAGTGCATAGCATTGTATTGTATGTGTGTCTGGGACATCACAGACTTCCTTTCTTACTTTATTTTTCTTCAGAAAACTAGTCAATGACTTTTCTTGAAAACTTCCTTGATTTTCCTTCGCTGCCAGTAGACTATTCTGCATAAAATTCCAGATATGAAGTTGACTTCTTTTTTTTCGAAAAAATAAAATAGGATCGGAAATTTTGAAACATTACGATCGAAATATGTGGTCTTCGACTTCGGCCATTAATATGTTTGATGCCGTTTACAAATTAGTCATCGCTAAACGCAAGTTAAAGTAATCAGCTAAGTTTAACATGGGCGCAAAGCCTATGTAACCGAAAGATATTATTTTAGGTGCATAGGTTTGCACAAGTCATAACCAAAGGAAACAGAACACTTGTGCGTATCGCATTGCACCATAAAAGCAGAATAGCTGACACTGCGCTCAATAATTTCATTTCGTATCTCTTTTTTCAATCAATAGATGCAACAAGGACGGAGGACTGCAAGCTTGAAAGCATCTTATGAAGCAATACACAGTTCAGGAGCTGGTTCAGTTGGCAGTAGTGCTGTGGGTGGTACAGAATTAGCCATAAGTCGCGAGTTAGCGGGAGCTGCTCAAACGGCCATTGCTGCTATTCAAGATACCCATAAAAAACACAAAAAGTAATAATTATCTGTATGTGTAAAAGCATCATCAAAAACAGTGCTTAATTAATAATTATGTATGTCCTGGAGCTCGATTGTTTTCTTATTTAAAATGGGACTATGAATCTTTGAAAAGTGACTCTTTAGCTACACAAACTTTTATGAGTGTTCTGCTCACTATTGAGAAATTTTGCCAAACCCTCTTGGTTCCTCGTTTAAAAGACTACCCCATTTTCTTCGATGTTTCCCATTGTTCATGTTTTTCCAAAATAACAAATAATTTTTCCTCCATTTATGAATATTTGATTTTATTGGCATTTGATCCCACCTACATGACTGGATTATTTTTCGTTTTGAGCTCAGTGACTGCTTGTATCATTAGTTTTTTTATTTATTTCTTTTTCAGAAAATCTAATGGTATGGGTAACATGTCTGCGTTTAACAATCAAATTTACAACTCTAATGCTGCCATACCAACAGTAGTAGAGGAGTCCATCGAAGATTCTGAGCAGTCTGTTGATGCTGCTTATGATCCTGATGAGCCAAGATACTGCACATGCAATGAAGTTGCTTACGGAACTATGGTAGCCTGTGATAATAAGAATGTAAGTAGTAACTATTTTCTACCATCCGAGCATGCTTGAAAAACAAGTGGCTGGAAGTAGTTTTCCCTTAACTTATGTCAGCAGCACCAAAGAGGAATCTTTGTCATGAATAATTAAATATTTTTCTGCCAAGATGAAAGTAAAATATATGTGGCAAGAAGGAAACATTGTATCCACATTGTGGTGTTTCAAAATGTCCGCTCCTATTTTATCCTTTTGAAGCAACGTCGCATATTGAAATACACGATTTTGTTCTTGACCCATTGATATTTCCTCAAAATGTCTTTGCACCAACCACACTCGCGAGCAATACATCTTACGCTACACCCAGCAAAAATGAGGCATTGATATTAGGCCAGGTTTTTAAAGATGTATTCTCTTTGTTGAATGTGAACACAGAATCACCTCGCTATTCAGCCTTTGCATGATTTTTTCATTTCAAGTACGGAGGAGTTTAAGAGTCAAAGCAAAATGTAAGAATTGGTCACTTTTTATTTTGAAAATTGTCTTATCTCTGTCTATGATTACTTTGAAAACATCTGCCTTGCCTCCAGAAAGGTTTTTCTCTACAACCTAAATAATCATCTTTTTAAATTTCCTCTCCGCATTCCTGCTCACAAACAAAACTTAAAACTGAACAAATGGTAATTTTCTGCCAAAGTGAATTACTTGTATAAAAAATGTGCTCTCAAAAATCCAGTATCTCTCTTAGCACTCTGTAAATCCTGTTTATAAACCTTGGCACACACCAGGACTCAAATCTTTTCACCTACTTTACCTTGCTATCACTGATCCTAATTATACTTCATTTTCTGATTTTTTTTTTATGTTACAGTGTCCTTACGAATGGTACCATTGTCCTTGTGTTGGAATAACGGACCCTCCAAAAGGCAAATGGTACTGTCCCACATGTACAGCAAATATGAAACGACGATCGCGGAAAAAGGAGTGAAAACTGTATGCTTAGTTCCTATTAATTGAATTTCCTTTAGACACAGTCTAATTTTGTGATGGACTTGTGATCATGCTATTGGTGCTCCAGAGTGTTTTCATTACTGGACTTATTTATGTTAAGGGACACTATGTGTGAAGAGTTTGCGTGCAACATAGTTCCTCTTAGCATAAATATGTCTCATTGATTATATTTAATCCTCTCAAGACCAAATCTTGAACATCGCATGCAAAAAAAGCCTTTCTATTCTCTCTTCTGAGGCCATTTTTCATGAGAATAAAATTGATGACTCATGGTTGAAGTCCCTGTAATTAAATTTTGCCGCTGAGTATTCTGTATTAACCGATTGACTTATGATTTAATTTGACCCTGCCGGGCCAGGAATTACGATTTAATTTGGCGAAAATCAGCAACTTTGAACACTTCAAAATAATCCAGAAATTATTTCTCAAAGGGTGAAAATTGACAAAATAAGCATTCACAATGCAACGTTTGAGAAAAATGGTGAAAACTTTGAACACAATGATTTTTTTATGTGGTTTATAGCTGTCAAAATCGCAAAAATCGCAAGATCAGCGAAAATCAGAAAATTTTGAGGTTATTTCATGTGCAAACGCACATTAATATGAAAATACCGCAACAAAACAAGAAATTACCGTACACAATAAGTCATAGGGTGGCCACACCACTCATATAAACATTGATGAGAACGCAATCTACCGGAGAATTGCCGAAATAACGCGAACAATCAGCGGACGGCTCTGAGCCGTCATTGCAGAGCTGGCCCAGCGCTGCGATGACGGCTGGGAGCCGTCATTGTAAGTCAATGGGTTAAGATATTGAATTACCTGAATTTCCATTATCTGTGGTACCAATAATCGTGATGAGTCTTAAATTACAGTCGAATGTCAGTAATTTTCATTCTCAGCCACAGTAATCCATTGATGAATCACCGATTCTTGGTTGCAGGCTGTAGCTATGGCTTCCAATGTGTTAATTAGTGATTTTGCTAGCGTGCTTGAGAACAAAAAATTCAAACTTCCTATCGTGAAATAAAATTTTGCTTGGTTCCTGGTCTTGAAAGATTCCAAAAAATGTCTTTGATCTATATTTCTGCAATGTGTTTTTGAATCTGGTGGATCAAAAAATGGGCGTCAAACTCCTGTTGTTCACTCGTAACCTGATCATGATTAAAAAGTATGTCCTGATCTGAGGGGTTTTCATTAAAAATTAGATCATTTCTAGTATATCCAGAATCAACAACCGTTTTACAGATTTTGAAGAGCCCTAGTTTTTTTAAATTTTGCCAATTAGGAAGAGAAGAACTGTCTTTTCTTTCTTTTTTTCTGCTCATGAGCATTCATTTACATCTTCACTGAAAGAAATTAGATCATTAATTTGATTTTTAATAGCTTTCAGATGGATGGGAAGTATACAAATGCAGCAAGAGATCTCACTAATTGTTATTTAGGTATTCAAAAATATGGATTGGAAAAGAAACGTAAAAGAAAAGAAGAGCTTGCACCAAAGATAAGCCCTGTACACTCAGTCCAGAATGTTGACTTACTTTGAGAACTGTCTGATCCGCTGCCTGGCAAAGACAGCCCTTCCGCTGCATTTGCTCCCTATCTTTTTCGTCATTCCGGCAGGCTGATTATTGAAATTGATAGACAAAGCAATAGACAAAGAAGACATAGGGAGTATGAAGCAGTCCCATTGGTTGAAATGGGTGGCTCCTATAGACTAAGGGAGAAAATGATGGACTAACTTTAGGGTTTCTTGTGGGTTGCTGTTAGTTAGTCTATTACCAACCTCCTGTGTCTATTGCAATCACCCGCCTCCACCAATAGGTTCCTTTCATATACCTTTTGTCTTCTTTGTCACAATTCTCAATAATCAGTTTGCAGGAGTTGAATTTTTCGAGTGCTCGGTTTACTTATCTCCGACTTGAGAGCAAAACAGATTCGGAGGAAGGGAGAGGGGCTCTCTTTTGCCTGTCATGTTATTGTCTGACCGTTTTCCTCGTACGCCAACACCGTGGCTGAAGTAGATGGGGTCCTCAAGCTTTGAATTTTCAAACAAAAACATGTTATTAGCACTGTTGATTTATTTCTTTCCTCATGAATGACCCCTATTAATTACTTTTCCAATTTTTATTTACTTGTAAACTTGAGTCTTCCTATTTTTAAGTTAATCTCCCTCAGTCTTATCCTCCTCTCAGCTTTCACCTGTACTTCTGTATGAGGTCTGATCTTGGAGGAGCCAGATTTTCGCAATTTGAGAGGAACTGGACGGCTGAATAAGTTTCTATCTGGTTCACTTTAAATCTGACAAGCCCAATAATATTTTTATTTTACTCTAAAAATGGAATTATCGCAATCAGTGCTTAAATCGTGGTAACATTAATGCCGTCAAATTGAGTCATATTTAAAGCATTTTGTTCATTTCAAAGTAAAGATGAGACAAAAAAGTCCTTCATTTACAACAATGTTCCTGTTCTTGCATTGCTTCAAATTCTTTAATTTTGTGCATAAAATGACATAAATGTCGTCAGCTGTACTTTTTTTATCCTCCTCCTGATTCTTGGCTTAAATCTTCCTTGAAAGGCTGGAGGTGCTTTGCATAAATTCACACAACTTCAATGAACTGTTTTTCAAGAGGGAAGAGCCATCTAGACTAAAGAGTTTTGGAAAGTGTTTCTTTATAAACAAACTTGATGGGAGGAATACAAACTTCCTGAAAATTTTGATTAAATTAAAGAGTTGTGGAAGTAAACTCATGTTGACTGCGCTGGATGCATAATCATGTCTAATGAAAGGACCGTACGTCACGGAACAACATCATAGAAATGTATTGGGCCTCTGAGCAGCTTTTAATCGATCTAAGGAGAGACATTTTTGGAGCTGTTTGCTGTGAAGCACAACAATCAGGTTTCTTCTTGGACAGACCTTCTACAAGTGTAAACTAATTGTATTGAGCAAGTACCTGAATCAAGTATCCTGCATTGGACAGAATTCAGCAGAAACGCGCCAAGTTACATTTTAGAAAAAGTGTGAATTCAACTACTGGTAGATTTTCTTCCCTTTAAATTCACAGGCGAGAAAAAATGTTTTGAGTGTCAAATTTTGTAACATTGTGTCTCACGGAGGTATAAAACTTCAAGCCTCTTTGTCTCAATTCAAACTTGATGCGATTCTGTCAAACTCAGTCCAATTTTTCCAAGAGAGATGATGTTTTCTATAGTATCCATACTGGAAGAGTATTGCCATATTGTTGCTTGTTTTGGACCAGTTTTGTGTCTCAAATCATTGACCAAAGATTTAGGGACTTCAGTAAATAAATCTACTCAAAAAGAGGTTGATGGTTACGTTAAAGACACCATTTTAAAGGAGAGCTGAGAGGCTGCGCCCCCTGACCGCTTCGCGGTCGAACCCCCCAGAGCACTTCGAGCCTCAAGCGCCATGCGTTACACCAATACCTTTTTACTATAGAATAAGATGATTTACTCCCTGGGAGAAGAAATTCTTTGTTAAAATAGCCTTTTAACTTGGATGAGAATTTTATTCTGTCGCTGAAAATCATCTGTAACCATGTCATGTGTTTTCATTGATTCTTAAAACCTCTCAAAAGTTTAAATAAGGTCGAGACTCTCAGAGAGAAGGCACAGATTTTCTTCATTACAAACACGCAATTGTTAATACTCGTCCAAAGAAGGCACTATATGTTATTTTCTCAACCATTTTTTTTCTTTTCGTTTTTTCAATTGTTTGAAAATCTCTGACTGCATCTATATGGCATTTGAAAAAAAAAACAAAAAAAAAACGTGAATATAGCTTTAAGAACAAATCCAAATACAGAACAGTTTCTAATTTCATTGTTTTTACTTCACAATAATTGTACACCCAAAATGCAATTTCGAACCGCCTCTAGATCCCTTGGTAAAAATGACGATCAAGAACTGAGTAATTAAGATCTTTATTCTTACATGAATTTAATGAAATAAATTAAATTACAAAAAAATACAATCACGAAGATACAAATCTTTGAAACACAGTGAGAATCGAATTTACCTGGTAGCATAACTGGGCTGCTTTAATCAGGATCGGCACAACTGCATTTCACAATTCGTAACACCTCATTTAATTTAATTAAATTTTGTTATCTGCTTGATACTTTTTGGTATACTATTACTTCAAATTGTACGAGAAAGAAATATGCAGACAGTTCTAAGCTAAGATATTTTGCAAATTTAAAAAAAATTAAACACAGGGGTAAAATGTGTTATGCAGTTAGGTTGATTCTGGTTGAAGCTAATCAAACCATACTCAGGCATTAAGAAATAAAAAAATTCAAAAGTAAACAGTAAAATCTTTGAAAAATTCTGAAGTCGAATAGTACGGGGAAATAATAAACGCAGAACTTAGGTTAACAAAATATAACTTGCAACGTCTCGTCACCGAACATGGCTATTGTAAAAGGAGGAAAAGATTATTATCGGGATACACAGAGAAAACCATTACGAGAGGTTGTTCCTGATAAGCATTCCCTTGTTTTTTCATTGATTGATTTCTCAATTCATTGCTTTATTTTAAAGTAAATTATCATGGGGCGCTCGAGAGCTGTCAGAATGACCCATGAATCATCTCAGAGAAATGAGTGGTGCTGACTGATCCGAGGTATTATAAAGAGATGCTTTTGTCATAAATCTAGAAACCTACAACAAAAAAAGTGGCAGTTGTGGGGCGAAGTCAGAGGAGCGGCTCGATCTATTGTCTAAAGGTTGATTGGCTTCGACAAGCCTGGATTATTCGAATAAGCCAATATTATTGTATTTCAATCCTTCTCAATACCACATGCTAGCTTCTGACTCTGCCTGCAAGCCGCCTCTTTTTGTGTTTTTACCTGTAGTCTACTACAGATAATCTTGAATGGTTACAGAATATCGAAAAGATCAGAAAGGAAATGGTCAGATTCCAGTGCAAGCCTGCTTTCTCCAAACAATAATAACAAATATTCATTTAAATTTAAATTTGTGTTTCGTTTCGAGGACGCACATAGAAAGCTCTAAAGGAACATCAAATATTACAATCCTATCAAAATGTGTTCACTGCCACTTGTTTCACCTTGCTTACACATCAGAGACATAACATATTTTTTTTAGCTTCTTGGTCATAAGATTCGAACATAGTAGGATGAAGAAAAAATATACGAAAGAGTGGATTTTAAAATACTTGAATTCTGTCAAATTGAATCTCATAAACCTTGACACGTTAAAGAGGAATACTTTTCTGCTTTTCAGAGATACCTCTTTGACAGTGATGGTGATCTCTAGAAAATATCTTGAAATATGAATGAATATTGAAAACAAAACGTAGATATAACTTTATGCTTTGGCTTTCTATGAACAATCGGTGAAAATGCTTTGAGCCGTTGTTAAGATCAAGTTACATTTGTTATTTCTGGTTAAAAACTTGGTTCATGGTAAGAATGAAAGAAATCTGTGAAGAATTTACATCACTATTCTTGGCCTCATTCACATGACTTAGCCGTGTCATCCTTCAAAAGTAGAATTGCACTGCAATTGTTTCAGTTACATTTCTTCAGATTCTCCCCGATTAATCAAACAACTTGAAAAATTAAGTTAAACAAAAACCGACAGGAACAAAAAAATATTAGCAACTGCGTAAGAGTAGGTTGATAGAATGGAATTAGGAAATACTATCTCTCAAAGACAAGGGATACATTACGAAAAAAATAGGGAAACGTTTAACAGATAATTTCTGAGATTTTTTTCCATTAGAATAGTCGCTCAAAAAAATGGTGACAATGTGAAATACCACCATTATTTATAAATTATCAATCTTGTCAAATGCCAATGCAACTTAGAAAATGGTCTTTACTGAAAACATCCGAGACCTACTCCCTGTTCCTAGTCCCCATCCACGAAAAACGCCAAGAAGGTTCTTGCAATTAAGCGTCTCCCAGAATGTTTGTGAATGAACTAACTTATTTAAAATGCTTCAAATTAAATTATATATGATTAGATTAAACAAAAAAATACATAATCCCATACCCTGTATTTGTGTTTCTATTGAGGGTACATTTCTGAACAAATTAACATTTATCAGTTACTCAGATCACAAGCTTTAAAACCAGATCATTTTCATCAAATAGATAGTGTGTTATTCTTAAACGATCACATTGCTGATATTAAACCTGCAGCTGCAAACTAAATAAATAAATCGTGTAGGATCTTACACACTATGTAATCACATACCTAATGAAGCACAAAAAATGTAGGTACAGATAAAAAAAAAGTAATGTGTTCAATTTCTGGTTCATAAATAATTTGATACCCTGAGAAAAAAAAAATAATTCACAGAAAATAAATAAACCCCAAAAACAAGAATTTCAGGAGAAGTCAACAGTACAAGCATTGAGAGAGATCCACAAACAATATGGATAGCGTAGAATAAACATGGCAGAGTAACAAGAAAATATAGAGCTAAACGACTCAACGGTCTAAATAATTCACACAAATGATTAACTTGATAGATACACCAAAGAAATACATTTACTACTCTTTAAGACTTAAAAATTAGAGAAAACCTACTCAGAAAACAATTAAATTACTTTACTCTAAACCTAATTTTATGCAATACACATTTTGTTCTAACACAGTAAAATCTCTCATCCACTCTTGACAGAAATTTTTATCAGATCAAAGGACACATGAACCAAAAGGTTAAATTTGTAGGGATGTCAATAAAGTAGCACATTGATTCTGTAACTCATGTTACCACTTTGTTAAATCGACTAAGCAGTATTGTCTATTTAACAGCATGGGAGGAGATTCTTGGCATGAATGAGATATCAAAATGTTAAGTTATAATAGAGTTAGGCTCCTCCCGGCCGATTACTGACGGTTTAAAGCAACCCGAAAAGACGTCAAAATGCGATACATTGCATTGTTAGGAGAGGGCTATGTTTTGTCTTGTTCTGCTAATACAGTTTCAATAATCGACCCACAGAGATTGACTGAACTCTCATAAAATAAATAGAAGGCCAGAATACAGAAAAATAAATCAGAATGCAGGAGGAATAAAATCATGAGAGTATCTTGACTTCATTAATTGCAATGCATGATTGAAAAACGTTAAATTGGATCATGTAAAGCCTTAATTATACATGCATAGAAGCTTAACACTAATAAAAAAGAGTGCATCTTAAATAAAACTGTATTCTTAAAAAAAACCTCAATGCTGCTGTCATTGCAAAATTAAAAAAGACTAAAATACAAACTTAACTTAATTAATGACTTCGATAATCATCTACCCTGTTTTCACTTCACGCTGACCTACTACAAAAAATTGACAATTGTTGAGAGAGATTTCACTGAGTTAAATTCATACTTAAGCTCATACCAGACAATACTATGCCAGGTAATTTGATGCAAATTTTGAGTTTCACAACATCTAACACTGAAAAATTTATGAAGCTCTTGTGAGCTGTGCTAAAATTTAACTGTGCAAAATGGCCAATGCAATGGTGATGAACCGTAATAACTTTAAATTCAGCTTCCCAAGACTCAAATTTTAGCACCATTCAGGGATAGAATATTTACTCGCTACATTCCTTTGAAGAACGGTTTACGGAAATTGTCATTAATGAGCGCAGGCGCCCACAAATATCAAAATGCCATAACTTTAAAATTAACCTAAATGTTTTCTAAATACATAATCAACAAGTGAATGAAAACTGATTGAAACCAATTACAACTGATAGAGTCAAAAATTTGTGAATAAACATAAGAGAGGATGAGGATACCATCCCCTTCAGTCTAGAAAATAAAAATAACATATAAATCAGATCACATCCACCTTCCTCTATCCAGGGTAAAAACCTCTGCCAAAAACAATGATGGAATCTTCTAAAAACATAGAATTACTTGGAGCTGTAGTCCATGCATTTAAACATAAAAACTCACTCAAAAGTTATAAGAAGAAATCATGTGTTTACATTCAATAGAAAAATAATAACCGTTCTTGTGCTGTTCCGGAGAGAAGTCTCCATCCTCGTTTGATATTCAGGTACTGAATTATAGCTCGAATGCAGATCAAAATTCCTGAAATGAAAAAGAAATATTTTAGGAAATTTTTCCTCAACGGTCGTGAAATATTGAAGCGGATATGGTTGCAGTAAATAAACTCCAGCAACCCTTAAGACGGCCAACCAAGTTGCAGTTTAAACTGTCTTGTCTAAAAATTGAAAATATAAATCAAGAAAAACGAAATGAATAATTCTAAGACAACGAACTTCAGTTACCCTACGGAGGCCTATTTTCGGAGAAGCTAATTAATGGTGAAACTCCCAAATTGCATTTCTTGTGCTTAAAAATCTCTGTTCCTAATTTATTTCTTTAAAGGAGGGAAAAATCAACATCATTTCTTGAAGTTTTTTCAGAAGTTGCTTTGCACATAGAACAAAAATTACATAGGTTTTTAAGAATTGACGCATTGAATAATTCTCCATTTGAAAAAAATATGACAGGAAGTCTCCAACGTCACAAACCGAGATACACGGTTTGGGTGTTTCAACATCGAAATGTAAATAAGGAAAAATAGAGGAGGATTGAAGAGAAAACTTTAAAGGTGTATTTTTCAGAATAGAAAGTATCTATAAGTATCTGCCTGATGATCTCTGGGAAGATAGGGGGCAATGGCACTTGGGCGTCACAGAGCGAGAGGCTGCGCTGTGAAAGCTGCTAAATGTACATAAGTATCTTTAATTGAGTTCATATGTATACTTCCTAAATATTTTAACTATTTTCTTCAAATTGATTTTTTCTTAAAAGACTACTAAGCTTCATTGACCCATTGACTTAAAATGACTGCTCTGAGCCTTTGGTCTACCAGACATCAATGTTTTTGATACTTCATTAGATTGCATTTTCGTCAATCTTGATACAGGCTCCTTTGATATTCGCAAATTTGCCATTCACGAGTTTGGCGTACTTGCAAGGTGGCTTTTGTTTTCTGGTCTCGTCATTCGCGAGGCTCTGCTTTGCTTAGTCGTGAATTTTGGGAGACAAACAATCATAAGTTTTATATTTCTATGTTTGAACGATGCCACAGTGTTGCTGAGGATTCTGAATTGGAAAAAGTTATATGTGAACAGTCGAGTTCTGAGCTTCAAAATTCTCTTAAATTTTTAGTGATACCTATTCCAATTTTGTCCAAATTAAAAGTGTAAACAAAATCGAAATGTCTCAAAAAAAGATGCCGCATACCCAATGATGTGAATCCGCCGAAGCTTGTTACATCTGCCTTGTTGCTTGTTAAAAAGTTAGGGATTCTAAATAAGCTGAGAGAAGGTCTAAGCAACAGCGCATTTGAGCAATTATATAACCTCAATGAATCAACAGTATGCAGCACCTGAAGCAAACTACTCTTCGAAGTTTCTTCTCAAAAAAAGACTAGGTACGTGATGACAATCAGTGAAAGTCAGCGTTTTTCTCCACCACCGGCACCGAACCTCCATTTTCTTGTAAGCGTATGGTTTCAGTATTTGCGAATTCCTTATACTCAAGGTTTTCGCCAGACCAAACCTTTGAGAATAATAAGGGACTACTGTATGGATAATGTGACCAACCAAAAACTTATTTTGTACAGTAATTTGTTACTTTGTTGGGGTTTTTTTGTATTATCCTATGGTCGAACTTAATGAGCTTAAATTTTCCTGATTTTTGCTCATTCAATGATTTTCAGGATTTAAAGAGCAATGAATTGACAATATAGAAGCATCATGACTAAGTATTCCTGTTTCCTTGGTTAAGTTTCTATGAGTGCTTGGTACATATATCAAGTTTCAACCTCGGGGAATGAGTTTTAGGATAATTTTTAATTGTTTATTACGGATTTTTGCATAATTTATCAAAAATACATTAGTCAATTGGTTAAAATTTTTACAGACAAAACATACAAAACTTACCAAAAGCCATAATTAGCCACCACAACCAACTATTTTCTGTAGAGGCGAACTCAGTATTATTTTTGACAATGAGTGTCCACTTGGCCAAAGACAGACCGAACCCGGCCAGAGCACCATATCGAGCAGCAACAGTTCGACAAAAACACATAAACAACAAAAATCCGACCCAATTGAAAAGGAATGCAACTGGAAAATAAAAAATTCAAAATGAGTAAAAGATTAAAAAATTTAAATAATGTCCCTAACAGCTAATCAAGTTTAAAGCTAATTTTTAATGATATATTTCTTAACACAAACAAAGAATTAAATTCACGTGTATGTGAAATTAAAATTGAATAGATTTGCATTTAAAGAATTTCTGATGATTATGAAAGACATTAGTACACCACAAAAGTACACCGAATCAAGCGTCTGGACAACTGAAGTTAAATTTAATCCATCTTCAAAGAAGATAGATGCTGTCTAAAAATTTTTAATCATTGCAAGATTCAAACTGTTTAGTAATATTCAATTTAGAAGTTACAACATGTCTGTTTAGTCAGAAAATGTAGTTACCAAGAAAAGCAGCAAAAAACATAACATCTGTTCCCAGAAGCCCTGAGTCTGCATCCGCCTGATTGGCAGCTTCCGCATCAATTGCAAAAAATGCGTAAGTTTGAGGTCTATGTACAGTAGCTGGAGGAACCTATGAGCAGATAAGAAACATGATAAAAATATTTTCTGATGAAAAATACTACAAAAATTGTAAGATCAAAGCAAAGAAGACGGTAAAACATTCTTCTTTAAAGCAGCAGTTTGATAGGAACAACAGCATATTCAAAGATTTTGAGGTAGTTTGGGCTATAGTATTTTTTTCTAATATTTTCCCTGCAAAATTTTCATTCTTCCGGTAGAAACTTTTGCAACTGCAAGAAATTTTAGCTATCGCACATGAATCATTACTGAGGGACATGTAAAAAAAAAATCTTGAGTTGGAAAATGATTGTAAATTGTAGGCCTTGAAGTTACATGAGGAGTTATAAGTTTTCTATTCACCTTGTTTTTCTTAGGATAAAAAGTTGAAAAATTAAAGATGTCGCTAATTGTAAATGAAATGTTTATGACAACATGACATGTAGTGAAATTAACATGTTTTTAATGATGTAGCTATAAAAAATATGTTCATGTTTCGATACTTTTTCTTTCTTTTTGTTTTAATTACTTCGACAACTGTAGTATAAACATTTTCATGTGCTTGTTAAACAGTTACACATATACACACACAGCACGTTTTTAATACCGACCGCTAGAAAATGACGATAAAGATTCTATATCATTTGAACAAGACAAAAAGCGATCAGAACCGGTGCAAAATAAAAAAAAAAATTAAAATTCTTATTCAGAACTTACGTCAGGAATTTCTCCTTGCATTGACTTTTCTCTTTGTACTTCTTCATAAGTTGGTAATTTGGTAGCCGTTTCATACGGAGGTGGAGCCGAAAAATCAAGCTTTGGGGGCGGGATTTCCTCTGAGGACATCTAGAAATGAAGAAAAAAGAGAAAAAGCTTAGCACAATGTAAAATTACTTTGATAAAGTAACACATCCAAATCAGACAAAAAGTTCAAGTGACGTTCCTTGGACACATCATGAGCCAAATGAAATTACTTGGTTTCAGTTAAAAATTGTTATCAAAATCAAATCTTTGTGTGTTTAATTACATTTTTCAAAACATATATAAATGCAGTATGCACTTTGAACATTATTTTGTACTTTGCTACCTCTTGTAAATGAAATCCCCTGCTTGAAGTTGGGTGTCACGAACAAAGTACATGGTAAGCCACGATCTTTCATATTTTCATGTTTGGAGGGTCCCATGGAAAAAATACGGTTTTCGAGGCACAAAAGATGTGCACTTGAAAAAGTAAACTGACTACTTACAGTGTTGATATGAAAATACTGAGGAGGCTCGCTGACAGAAGGTGGTGGCATTAGGTTACTGTTGTTTTCGTGTGGGTGCATATTGGCAGGCAAGTCTGGAGGTAAAATAACTGTTAGCGGTCCAGAATCAGGGTGAAATGTGCTCATTGGTGTGCTGATAGGTGCATTAGAGTGGGGCTCCTAGGGAAGAAAAAACCAAGATAATTACGTTTACGGTTACATACAATATGTCACCATCCACTACTTAAATAGACAAACTCTGATACGGAGATCAGATATTTTTCTGCTGGTGTTCTGTATGCAGCAAATTCCTTCTTGTCCATTCTGTCTGAGGACTAATTTAGACAGGGTGCAGTATAATAGTCCATATAAAAACAGGGATTGATCGTACAGAATTCAATTGAGGTAGTGACTAAGAAAAAAGTTTGCAGTTGTACACTTGTGACTTTCATACGCAGGACACATTTATTTATCTGCACACAGCAACAAGCGATCTTGGTGAATCCTCAATTAATACTAGACAGCAACAAAGAGACATCTTCAAACAGAAAAAAACAATGGCCGACTTATCTAGCCTTCATATTCCGTTTGTTTTATAGGTTTTGTTCTAATCTATTGTGATGCTTCAAATAAGAATGGATCAGAACTTAACAAATCAGTACTTGCTTAATTGTGACAGACATCTATAGCGATTCAAAATCTTAATAAGTCTCTTCAGTTCTTTTGTAAGACTCCTACATAGTGTTGCTGCCAAGTTACTAAAAGATACGAGGTGGTAAAATGATGCGCACTTTTGTGCAGGGAAAACAAGGCTAAGACATTCAAAACTTTCAATTACAGTAAAAAATTTGAGCTCAAATTGAATCACATTATTGCGTCATGTCTAGCATGTATTGTATTCATGACGGCATTTCAATGCCACCTTATATTTTGTAGGATGCTAAACTCAGGTCACCGACGAATGCGATCTACTGATGATGTCTAAAAAGACCCGAGACATTATGGATCTCTCAGCGTGACTCCAGCTTAACATTCCAATGCATCTGCCTGACCTGAACACTCTCCCTCCTTTGTCTTGCATTGCCACTCACAAGAACTCAATTTTTTTACTTCAATTAAAATGATTGAACTTCTTAGCCTTGGTTTCCCTGCTAAAGTGTGGGCCCAGCATTATTTTACCACCTCATTACGTACAGTTCGGCCGACATTTTTATCGTGTTTTCTACTCTCTCTGGGTTTCTTCTTTGATTAGTGTTTTTTCTTGCTATTCTTCATAAATTTTTACGTTTTCAATCCCCAGATTTCCTGTCTCCTACAGAAACCTCAGTAACAAGTCTCACCTCATTACGACCGCTAGAACTATGCCAAACTGATTATGATTTGACGCAATGCAGAAAATCATTTTCGATTTCAGAATTAAAACCGAGTCCTAGAATAAAGACTGAAAAATTTCCGTCTTTCCTTCAAAAGATGGTTCGAGGTGTCGTCAGAAAAGTTGACTATGGTTTGCAAGCGCAGACAACAAATGTAGGCCTCTGCACATGAGGGCGTTCGCTAATATCCACCTTGAAAACTTTTGTCTTAAAATTGTATCGTAAAAAAACTACTTATCAGTTATGATTCGCAACTTTCATGTTGTTGTGATTTCTGCGTGACTAAAAATTAAAGTGTTACAAGGTTTGAGAGTATTAAGAAATTAATCTAAGCTTGCGTTCTTGCTTTCGCAGGAGTCTGATGTTTTTATGTGGATGTAGTGACGTAAGAACGCTCGCAAACCAAAAGTAAACAATGGTCAACTTATCTGACGACAGGTCTAATTACTTTGATATGAACCCTATAGCCCGTTTCCACTTTAGCGGTATTTAATTTCATATCCCGAGCATATAGCAAAAGAGAAGTAGCCTGATAAGCACAGGCTGTAACAAGCAAGATGCCATAAGATTAATTCAAGAAAACCACATGGATGAGAGCGTTTGAGGGATCATGGTGAATTAATTATGTGTCAAACACAGTGTTTCTGCATTACCTCATCACAAAAAATTGTCATCTAAGACTCAACTGATATACATTGTGCTAAGATGTAACAGAGAATAGCCCACGCAATTATGAAATTATATTTTCATGATGTAATTAGCCTGGAACAGTTTGGGAAAATAGAGAGTTGCAAGTGCACCTAAAACAACAACTTCTCTGGCCACCATTACACCAGGGTATAATGTTATCATTTAACAATGGACCTGGAGCCCTCAGTATGGTGATAAAGTCATTATTGCTACCACTGAGATTGTTTAATTACTGGGTATTAGATGCACTAGAGAAAATTAAATGACGTGGAGACAACATCTTGCATCCTTACATACCATATTCATTTGCTGGCTAGAGCTCATGTTGAGAGTGCATTCACGGGGAGGGCTCGAAGATCACACACGACCACAAGAACCTGAAAGTTCAAGGATAAACTCAACGCTAGAGGTAAAGTTTCATTGAATAGCTATGCGTGAAAATGCGAAATAAACTTTCCGAAAATAACTGCTGGTTGAAGTTGAGCGCAAATTTTCTCGTCGAAAGAACAAATCACGATGCACGAAAATTCATTATCATTTTAATCTACAAAATGAAAACAAATAACCATGGAGTAAAGCATGAACAAGAGACCCCATGCCCTGTGACGACGCATACAGCGTTGATACACGGTTACCTCAGCGCTCTCTAGCAGCCGATATCGATAACAGCACCAAACACCGAGAGTCGAGTCGATTTTTTTCACCCGTTTCCTGCTCAAATTTTGCTGAATATAAATAAATTATAAAAATTAAACATTCAGATATTAGTCTGGAGCCTCTGCCTGAAATTTTCAAGGTTCTTTCACGTTCTAGGTAGGACATTCGCGAATCCAAAAACCAAAAACAAAATCGGACCTGAAGAATCAAGTCACCAGCTCAGCGTCACGTAAGATTGCATGCTCATGATTTTGAAGGCGATTTTTGCTCGCAGACGCTGTCAGCTGCCGGAAATAACACTACTTCGCTTCTCGATTCGAAACACTGAAGTGGACGAATGTTTTTGTCTGCGAATAGCGGCTGGATAGATCATAGTTAGCTTTTTGATGGACCTCAAAAGTAAATGGGGAAGGTTGAAGGGTTTTTAATAATTTTTCAATCCCGTTGCATCGCCAAGTAAAATGGCATGTAATCATAGTGCAAGAAAAAAGTGTGGAAGATAGACGAAAAGAAGAAAAAAACTGTCTTCTTATTCAAATTTTGGAGCTAAAAAAATTAACAATGCGGCTCTTATTATGTTCGAGTTAGGTCGTCACGTGTACTTATGGCTGTACACTGTACAGGTGTGTTACTTTAACGGCACACATGAAGCGAACTTTGAATGGGATTGCCATTACCTACTTATGGCGCGTTCTAAATTTTCTTGGATCGAAATTTCAAAAACATTCACAGCTGTTAAAATATTGCAGTTAAAAAAACTCGAAATTCCGTGCTCTATAGATGGTCACCCGGTCCTCTTTCGACCAGTCGCACCAGATGCATATTTATAGTGCGTTCTGAACTTCCTCGAATCGAAAGTTCAAACATTTTCGCATACGCGTCAAAAAACTCAAAATTACGTGCTCCAGATGGTAATCCGAGGAAGATGGTACCAGGCCTGGCTATATCCAGCCCTTTTTTACCGGTCGCATTGGCTCCATTATTTATAGCGCGTTTGAACTTTCTCGGGTCGAATTTTCAAAATTTTCCATATATATCAAAATATCGTTATTAAAAAATCTCAAAATCCCTCGCTCGAGATGGTCATATTGCGATCTTCGAACCGAAAGTTATGTTATCACTCATAATGCGTCATTCTATAATATGAAAATTAACCACATGGTATCTAATGAATAAGTGGGAGGCTCTTGAATTTTTCCCAAGAAATTTAATTAATTTTTTATACACCAGGTAGGCAGCAGCACGGGTGGCATTAGAAACTTTTCGGGGGGGGGGGGCAGAAGTTCCTAGGGTAACTCATGAAGGGGGGTCAGCGGGACCCTCTTCGCTTCAAAAGAGTGTTCGGGGAATTCTCCTAGCTTTAAAGGTGTGTTCGGGGGGCCTCTCCCGGAAAATGGTGAAGAATTTAGTCTTTTCAGGAGCAATTCTAAGCTACTCTTACCGAAAAATTCAATCCAATTTTCAGCAAAATCCTTCACATTTCCTGGGAGAAGCCAAGCAGATTTCTAAGGGAAACCAGGCCACCCCGGCACCCCGGCTTATCCGGCCTTGCATGAGAAGAAAAGAAGGGAGAAAGAAAAATAGAAACGGAAGTAAAGGAGGAAAGACGCTTATATATTTGGTAATTATTCATGACAAAATCGACTGAGGCGGCATATCAAATGCCTCAAAATTCCTAAAAATTTCACATTGCATTGCCATTTTGTACTCATGAGAATCACAATTCTTTCCCAAAAATCCTTTCCCTCAGCTTACTCAATTGACTTTCGAGGCTATGTTCACATGTTAAACCAATCGATCTCGATACAATCTCACCTGTTCGATGTATCGAATACGATCCATTGCGTTGCGACATGAGCCGTGGCTAAATGAACAGTGATTTTATCGTTTCATCGACATGTTATGTATGGATTCCCCTTAATACAAATATAGTGAATTAATTCGATCACATCAATCATGCTAAGTCCAAGAAACAGGCCGATAATTCCTCCTATCGAAACTGGAACATAAATTGAAAAGAACAAAACAAGACATAGAGAAATGACTGAGCAAGTGTCAACCAACCAACCAAAATAAATACATTTTTTTTTTTGAGAATTATGGATGTGCAAACATTTCAAAATCATGAGCTGAATAAAGCTGACTCCGCCAGATTAAATATTAGAGCCTAGCACAAAGCGGAGCGGCGACGCACTGGCGCCTACAAACCTAACAGGGATACCTCACGCATTGCGCAACGCGTGAAGTATCCCTGTTAGATTTGTAGGCGCCAATGCGCGTTTCGCGCTGGCTGCCCGCCTGCCGCACCGCAGCGTGCCACGGCGCTTGAAGCAACTATTTCACACCAGAGGTATTGCACAGTATCGTACGAAACTGAAGGTGCTCTAATATATTAGGAATGACAGGCATATATCAAAAGTACGGAGCTTTCCTCGCAAAATAAATCTAGATACTACGGCCCAAAAAGAGAGCAGTGGTCCAAAAACTCACTAAGTCCTAGCATCCGTAATTAGTGACGTTTAACGTACACTTTATCGCCTGGCTGTGTGTTGCTTAATCGCCATCAGCTATAAAAGGCTATAAAAAATTGTGTATTCATCGATATAGCTTTAAACACTCATGCATTTCAAGAAATTTGTATATGAAAACAGGAAGAGGCCGCTGTTAGTATCAGTAATTATTATGTGGGTGTTTTTGCCAAAAATAACATCCAAGAAAAAACCATTAAATGGAATGTATACAAACCAATGAGTTCAAGTGGAGATCGAACTAGTTTCCTGATGTACTGCTCCATTGGCAATGATTCCATTTTTATTGTTATCTTCGAGTTTATTCCTGTCCCATTAGACCAGTCTCTGTCTATGTCACGGTCCTTAAAAGTGGGCACTTCCCTATAAAAGCAATATTCACATAATGTTTTGCTCATCTTTAGTAAGTGTTTAATTTTTTTCATTATAAACATCTCCTTATTTTTAAATTATACGTTCCGAGTCTTTATCATGTTTGGTCTTTTCAAATCAGAAACTAAGCTGTTCAATTTCATGCTTACCCTTCGTATAAAGTTTCAACGATGTTTATTTCAGGTTCATCACAGCTTGCCATACAGTCGCATGCTAAGCCCTTGGCATTTGATGTATTTAACCGTAGGTTATTGAAATTCTCTGAAACATTGATACAAATTTGATCTTAAGATTCAATAATAGGTATACTGAGGATATTGGTTTGCATTTTGCAAAAAGGAACCACGAGCATTCCAAAGTTGCTAGGATTTTCAAAAAAATTACTGAAATTATTTTTAAATTTTCAAATTATCATACATTTCTTTAAATACGTTTAAATTTATATAGTCATTGCATATGTTGACATATAGTATATGAACAAATATGACTGCGATTTTCTTTGCTTAGTTTGTTTCGTATATTTTAGGTATTACTCTCCCTCTACTTCACTAACACCGATACGACTGTTTTTTCTACTCCCTGTATTTATAAGCTTCAGAAATTATCTTCAACCAGAAGGTAGAAAAAAGCCTTGTAATTAAGGTAATTTTGAAAATTCTATCCATGTTATGAATGTACGTGATACGGACCTTTATTCTCCTGTAGACAGATTAATCCGTTCAAATCACAAGCAGGAAACCCGCCTAAAAAAGAAAACCGAACAAAAAAATGGCACAATTTATAGTTAAGCTTATACTATTTACTAAATGCTACCACAGAGTCTACGACAGTTATCCAGTCAAGGGTGTAATTAATACCACGCCCGCTATCGTGGATTTTTTAATTTTGAAAATTTGACTAACAATTCGAGTTTTTTTGTCAAAAAACACCCTTTGACACCGTCTCTCACAAAAATCGATCAAAACAATAAAAATTATTCTCTTCAGTTTTCACACTTTAAATAAATTACAATTTTCCATACTGCCAGGAGAACTATTCCAATCCTGAAAAGATTGAGTCCTGATTATTTTCTTATTTCTACGTATTATAATAGAATTTTAATTAAAATTTGATAACTTTTCTTGATAACAGAGAACTATAGGTGAGTTTTAAAATGGAGCTTTTCAAGGCACCCATGACACTCACCCATTCGTGGCATGAATTGAGAAACGCACGAGCAAATTTCCATTTGGGCTCGAGCGCGGCAGTCTACAATGCACGTAGAGTAGCTGTAGAGAACGTGCGTAGAAAGGAAATTTTCACTGCTAGCCCATCTACAAGCTCTCTGTTCGACTGACACTGATTCCAAAAATGGATCGTTGACTATCTCTCGAATCTGAAATTAGTTGTTACGTTTTTAAAATTAGGCTCCTAGTGAACAATTTCACGAAACTGTACTTTGGGATGAGCATGGTTTGCGTAATTATTATCTAAGGGACCTCCCCCCCCCCTTCCGTGTTCACGGAGTAATGATTTAAAAAATAATAGTTTCTGACATACTTAAATCTCTTTATTTGGGATATTTTCCCCCTTTTAAAAAAATATGATTATTGGCTGTCAAGTAATGACGTGAAAAAACTTCTATTATATCACCCCCACCAACATCCATCTCCACGAATTGAGTCAGTCCCTATCATAAACTGTGATCCTGTTATAGTAAAATCAAAATAATTTCTTGCACACCACCATCGACCATTTAAATCGAGTCCAAGTATTTTCCGGAAGTCAATTCGTCTCACTCACTTGCAATGCATAACGTTTTCGTAAAATTTTCGCGAAAATTAATTCCGTTAAGTTCTAGCACATGGTCTCCTTTCCACAAAGTTCGCTCTTTGGCAAGATAAAATGAGAAACAACAATCACATCAGATTTCAATCAGAACAGCTAGATGAGTAACTGCCGGGAAAAATAGTCCTCTTCATTTTCAATTTCATTAAACACTCTAATCGTTTGTTGCGGAACCACAAAGACGCGCAAATATGTAATGACGGAATTAATTCTGTTGTACAAGCGGAAAAAATGAAGGCGCCTGGGGCTTTTCAATAGCAAAGCCTGGATGCGACTGTTCGTGCTCTTAGGATGCCCTTGTTGCATACTCAAAATTTGCAGGCGCTCTGGCTTTCTTCATCACCACACTTGACTCCAACAGTTCGCGCTCAAGGAATATCTGGGTTTCTAATGATTTTACAATTGTATTGGCCATTACAAATATCGTATGCGACACAAGTAACAAATAACGTAGCGATGAACATAAAAGAAAAAAGGGAAATGGGGAGATCCTAAATTGGTGGAAAAGGTAGTTGCAATGGACAAAAAAGCTTAGTAATAGACTAACAACAACCGACAAGAGACTCCAAAGTTAGTCCATCATTCCCCTCTTTAGTCTATGAGAACCACTTGTTTCAACAAACCGGATATCGCTCCATACTCCCTATGTCTTCTCTGTCTACAGCTTTACCTATCAAGTTCAATAATCAGCTCTCTCTGACCATTTCTCACCAAAAATATTGCCGTGACCGTCTGCCCTAGTTCAACAGTAAACTGTTCCTCAAGAGGGTGGTTGATGAAAGGCACCTCGTCTGCTCCATGCAAATAAACCTTCGTCAAACAGAAGAAAAGAAAGAGCAGTTAGAAATGGCTCCAAAAATGTCAGTGTTTCTATAGCAAGTCATCAGTGCTTTCATGATTGGCGGTAGGTCGCTTGTAACTCATCATTTCCTAAGCGTTAGCTTGACGTTCTCGCTCTCAATCGGTGGCGAGGCGTGAATGATCGATCCGATATTTTCCCATTGGAAGCTATGGTAAAGAATCGATCATTAAGGTGTTCGCTGCGAGCACTCTGCTAATCGATTGGTTTAAATGGCAGATCAATCGATATATCGCAAAGCACACCACGCCACTGCTCTCGATAACAAGTTTTAATGCATACTTTTTTTTCTTTTTTTTTCAATTTTAAGCATTTGACGATAAGAGTTAATTCCGAGATGGTCATAGTTGGCATGTTACGAAATTCGAATTACAAACATACGGTGAGCCGTGTAACAAGTTAGTGCACGCTACTAAGTTTCAACTAAATGACAAAAGTCATATAAGCTATGGGCTGATCCATTTTAAGGGATGAGATGACCTAATAAACATGTAATAAATGCGAATACATTCAATCCAGGACCTCTATGTCATTCATCATCTAATTTCCGATCATTCTATTTGGACTTTATTTTGCAATTAGGAACTAATAGTTTTGGCTCATTCATAAAAACACTTCTGTACCTATGTAGTTAATACGTTGTTTCTTAACTGCGCCAGGAATTTTAATTCCTAATTGCAAAACGTAGTCCATTTTATCGGTCCTCTCGTTGTAACAAAGCGGGATGCTTGTCGTATTATCGGTAGGTGGAACTTGATTTTTTTAAATTATTTCACAAAACTGTCTTCAGTTTCTTATGAACCCAAGGAGGGACCACAGCGATGAACAGAGTAGATTTTACTTCATTAATAGGGGAGAAAGTATACCAATGGCTGCGCTCACTTGTGTATTTTCAAGTAGATGCAGCTCCAACTTTCCGGGCCCCGTGTGTCTGTTAGAGATCATTTGTAACGGTGGTTTACTCCTGAAAGAAAATATAAAGAATCAGTAATGTCATGCTGCCGTGCTAAGTAAAAGCGCCGCAAGAGCATTCAAAAGTTGCCAAATTTCCTCACGGAAAACCTTTATTCTTGAAGATAGTTATGAATTTTTTTCCTTGCAATTTTCAGAATATTCAGAATGAATTACGAAGGAAGTTCTCTGAAAAATCGGAAGGGAAATATTCACGAATTTTCCAGAAAAATCGTGATACCTCGGAGAAAATTTTGCAACACCTAATGGCTAAAACGGCGCGCTTCCTTAGCACGGCAGTATAGTTGTATCCCATCCAGCCGATGTGCTTTCTTTCTTCGAACACTAGCGTAATGTAAAACCTTCGAAAATAATTTTTATGTGTAAAAGATGTAAGTATCCACTGTCTAAATATGCCGACTAAATAGACATCCTCGTACTCAAGCGGCAATGACTTGACCTTACCTTTGAGAGGCGAATGACCGCGTTTAACATATCTGGGAAAATTGGTGTGTCCTTCATATCTGAATAACATATTTGTATTCAAGTATCAAAGACTTGCCAATCTATATATGATATTTTAAATTATGTACGTCAAGTCTGTGCAGGTATGAACTCTTTCAATGGAGTTAAATTAAAGGAGGAGTGAAGTGCGACCGTCAAAACGCCTTCATTTATTCGAGTATGCTTATGCATGTAATTCTATTCCGTAACGCACGAATATTTGCATCATACGTAAAAGCATCAGTGTCTTCACACAGACTGCAAGGAGACAACTGAAATGTAATTACGTTCTGCGTGACAGAATTGACGATTTGGTTTATGAGTCTATCAAAGAGGCCATAAACTGTCTACTGCTTCACTGATGAAAATGTTCTCCGAGGGTGCAAATTTTCCAAGACTCATACTCACGTCGAAGAATGAAGAGAATTGATCGTGTAGCAAGTTCCCACTTCTGTTTCCAATGTTGCAAAATGGTCGCAGCAATCGAATTGCTTTTCATTCCACGCACAATATCCGATCAGTTGCGTACATGTCGCACGCACCTGTCGAGTCATGAAGACTTTGCATCAAGTGAGGCAAAGAAAAGTCAAGGAAATTTTCAATTATATTCATTGTATTTTCTCTTTTTATCTTTTGGAATAACTGAAAGACCAGAAACATTTTGTGTTTTCATAATGTATACGTACCTGGTGCTTTTTATCTCTGCAACAAAGTCGGAATAAAACGTACCGTCGTGGTTTAAGGCAGCCAGTAAGCTTGTCTCGCTACAATTTTTCGCCTTCGACCTGTCATGTAGGCCAAGAAACTTCTTCTGAGTTAAAAGATTTGCATCGCCATCAAGTTAGTGCATTCGCTTAAAAATCTGGAGTTGCTCAGAGGAAAACTAACCAACAGCTTTTATTTTTTTTCAAACATTGCAACGGCGAAACTTTTTTTTTTTTTTTTTTTTTTTTATTCCCTGGTAAAAATTGGCGATAAGAGCTGCATTTCAAAATACCATAGGAATTCTTATAGCCGGCTAAAGAAGGCTACAGAAAATCGTATAGCTGGCTGTAGAATGCGGAGAAAATCATACGGCCGGACTATACGGAGCGATAGAAAATTATGCAGCCGGGCTATAGTTCCTAGTATCATACGAAACTGAAGGAGTTCTAATATATTAGGACTGGCAGGCATCCATCAAAAGTACGGAACTTTCCTCGCAAAATAAATCAAGATACTACAGCCCAAAAAGAGAGCAGTAGTCCAAAAACTCACTAAGTCCTAGCATCCGTAATTAGTAACGTTTAGCATACACTTTATCGCCTGGCTGTTGCTTAATCGCCATCGGCTATAAAAGGCTATAAGAAATTGTGTAGCCGACTTTAGAAGCTATTGGAAATCTTACAGCCGGCTGTAGGTCTATGGTATTTTGGAACACAGATCCTACTGCCAATTTTTACCAGGGTTTGAGCCGCCGATATGCGATAACCATGATTCACAAAATCAAATCAAATTTTAACTCACCCGGGTCATAATTTCTCGAAAGTTGATAGAGCAGTTAATTTTTGAACCACACGTCTGACTACAGGTGCTACACATTAGGGGACTGAAGTAAATGATTTCCTCCAAAAAAGCATCGGTGTCAAGCGCTCTCTTCTGTCCAAAAAGCCTGTGGATTTTTCAGTTTACGTTGAATAAGAATAATAAAGGCTCAAAACATATTAATATTAGTGAAGGTCCTAAGCACGTGTCTGTCAGCGTTATGTTTGCATGGTTTTTAAGTTTGTCCGAGAGAAGTAACCGGAAACGAATGATCTATTCATCACATGGGCGTAAATTTTCCTTATTATTCTAAACGTGTCCAAAGATAGTTTAAAAAATGTTTCCATTTTAGGAACACATTTTGAGCCGAAAGTGGCATCATTTGAACTACATTTTGCAATATAAAACTACTTCTTACAGCCTGTTTTAGAAACAACAAACAACATGTACACCGTTAGCCTCCCGAGGCAGATAGTTGTTTTTATGGATGAATCAGAAATAGTAGTTCCCCATAACGAAAGTCCTTATGTAGACCATTTGTGGTTAGGCACTTTGTTGCCAAACTTCTCATGCTTTCCCAATTTTTTTTCTATATGGAAAACCTAATGCTCATTATATCATTCGAAAATTTTATTCAATATATCTTTTTTCATCGAGACGATTCCTTGAAATTTTCGTTGAAGGATAGGTGCAAAAGTTTGAAAAAAAAAAAAAAATAATAAATAAATACTTAATATTGAAATGTCCGGCACCATAGCGTCTGAGCCTAAATGCCGCTTGTAGTACTTTGAACTGAAGATGACGGCCGTATGAGTAAAAAATGAAATATCTCCGAAATTTTGAACGTCACGGTAGATCCGCAAGATCTCTTCTTTTAATAACTGGATCTATGGATATTACTTGTATTAACTTGAGAAACTTAATGTAACTGTTCTGGCAGTAGCTGTAAGTATCGATATATTTGGGTTGTAATGCCGATTCGAAAAGTATTATCAAACTACTTAATTACAAGAAATCAGTTTAAACCAATGAGGTTAGCCGTTTTAAAATGGTTTACTCTATGGAAGCCTTGACGATCTTCTCTTCATTTCTCAGCTCGCATAGTGTGACCGACGGAAAAGAAGTGTTCCAGTTCAAGAACCGTGTGTCTACGACGAAGCTAATGGCGTCCGTTTGATACACAATCCAAGATGCCAAAACCAAATTTATCGTGCCGTAAATAGATAAACAGCAAATGATGGTCCAGAATGCCCTGTAACATCCAAAGAATAGCATTGCGAAAAAAAATTGAATGAGTCAAAACAATAAATAAATGAATGGCATTTTTCGACCTTACATTTGAATGCTGCATCAAAAACAAAATTTAGGTATCATGATTAGTAAGAAAATATCGTGCTGTATAATTCTGTAATTGGCATGAGGTAATTCTGGAGTGTTATAAATGCAGTGGCGCGGTGTGCATTGCGATACAGCGATGCAGCTGCCATCTATACTATAAGCTCCAAGACCTCCTAATTTTGCGAAACTGGTAACGCTTAGTTCCAGCGTTCTACCGAGCCGATTTTTATGATTTTTGCGGTTATCGACGGGCAATTGTCTCTAGATAAGCCAACTCTTTTTAGATTTTCAAAATATGGCCCAGGTTTTTTTATATTACGTGGTAAAGTTGCGAATTCTCCCATTTAAACAATGTAAATTTACACTTTTTGTCATAGTTCGTTTGAGCGTTCTACCGGGCCGATTTCCATGATTTTTGCGTAAATCGACAGGTAATAAACCCTAGATGAGCCCGCTGTAATCAGATTTTGGAAAAAGGACTCAGGTTTTTTTAAAATCACGTTATAAAAGTGAGTGAGTTTATAGAATGCTCCGGTACTGCTACCGCTATGCGCGGGAGGATGCGCAGTGGTCGAGGAGGTTGCGCAGTAGCTGTGTAGCCTGCGCATCAGCTCTACACTTATGTCCACAAGATTCGCGCCGGGGTTCCAATGAAGAGCGGTGGCCGAGTCGTTAAAGATGTCGAATGCGTCTACCTTGAACTCGGTGTAGGTTCGATCTCCGACTCATGAAAACTTAATTATAATCTGACTATCATTGTTCATTGCTTTACTGCAATATTTCATCAAGCAGTCATTCCAAAACGCGTCCTTTTAATTTTAAAGTATAATTTTAAGTAAAGTTTAAAATTAAAGTATACCTCATATCGTAATTGTTTAGGGGAAAAATAAAACTAACACTGATAGGAGGGTAAAAATAGGGCCGCGAAGCGGCCCATTGATGGCGCGGAGCGCCTTCAGGGGGTTGGGCCGCGTAGCGGCCAGGGGGCGTAGCCCCCTAGTTTGAACCTATTGAAAAGGATCGATGAGCAGGGTGCCGCAACGAACACCTGAATAATCGATTCTTTACCATACCTTCGAAAGGGGAGGCATCGATAATCAACCGTTCACGCCTCGCCACCAGAGTCAAGTGACATTTTGACGGTGAAGCTCTCAAACCGCGTATCTCGTTTGTTATTCATGGTCTGCTCTTCTGCAGATTTGCGAGAAAAGCTAAAAAATGAGGCCTAAATACGAATGCAGCTCCTATTTTACCGTTACACAACGTCTCTTCTATCCTCGGCTGTGTTGTTCACGAAGCCCTTGAGGCACCACTGCAAATACGAGTAACACAGACGGAACCGACACATCATGAAAATAGTGCATGGGAAAAGAAGTGCGGTGATGACGGCGCAGAGATACAACTATTCGTACTTGGTGGATGTCCATATTGCGCATCTGCAAAATTGAAGGCGCGACGGCGCGAGGCGTAAACTATCAATGCTATGCTCCGAGCTGCCCATGAAATAATAATCCATCCTATTTGATTTTTTTAAAGTAGGTATAACAAATCAACATTTTTCTTGAAGTTTTTTCAGAATTTGCTTGGCACAAACGTAAAAATACACAGATGTTTTTAAAAATTAACGTCATAAGTGGTTCTTTATTTAAAAAAGCCCTACGCATTTTGGCTAGTTTTGGGCTCTTGAATTCAAGGTTCGCATAGGGTTTTTTGCATCCTCCAGGTGAACTTTTAACCATCATGTAAGCATTTCAAATTTTCTCTCTGTTCTAAAAGGAATACTGAGATGTTGTTTATGTGACGTCACTGGGTTACGAACCTTTCCGTCCAGTGTCTCCCTGGCTCCAAAACGTACTTCAAGCCGTGGATGGAGTTGTTTTCCAGGTATGTCATCAACCATTCACCGAATTTCAACCTCGTGTTTCTGTTCGCAAGATTTTTACGCATTATAAGAGCGACGCGACGATACAAATCCGGAGGAGCCTCAGATTAGTTTAAAAGAATACCTCAAAAAATCGAAAAATCCGTTTCCCAAGGAGCACGCCTTATAAGTTGCGATTTGATCGCAGAATGTATCACGATCTTATAAACAATTTATTGCAATATTAACGGTTAAATATTGCGATAAAATGAGATTTCCTTGCATGAATTCGAAATAAAATTGCGATCCTATCGACGGCGATTTACCGCAATGTTATCAAACAAAAATCGTGATAAATTTAGGTGCGATTTAATAGAGATAAAATTGCGATAAGATTAAGGATACTTGCTGAGATGTTGATGATCCTTGAGATTTTATCGCTAAAAAACTGTGAAAAATTGCAACTTAATCTCAAAATATCGCGATACTTTCGTTGAAAAATGTCACTTGGGCAACCCGCTCCCGAAAAGCGTGTGAAAAAACTTAACTTTATACCTTTTATACTTTGCTCACAGACATCTATCGTCACTCAAGGTTTGTCACCGTGATAAATATCACTACCAATATTGTCACGCCCTAATGGTGGAACAATACTCGACAGTTATACGTCGCAACTTTTGTCAAAAAGCACGCAATAAAACGCATCAAAGAGTCGAATGTGGTTTATTCTAAATATGTGATTACCTAGTTGCGTGCTGTGCATATCTCGCGTAAATATAATTATATATATTTATTTCCTTGTTAATTTTTTTTTTGCTTCTCACAAAAATCTGACTCTATTTTCTAATACAAAATTTTTCAGGGTAGTTTGTAATTTAAGTTCGTTTAGCAAAATGACAATGCTCCCGTGGAAAATTTCTTGTTGAAAAATGAAACAGCGCTAAATTAATGATGGGCTCTATTGATGATGTCCACTACGATTGATCGTATTCGAGCGACGACCAATGCAACATCGTGCGTGCCATCGTGATTACAGCGCCCCTTAACTGATCGTAACCGTTGCCGCAAGTGAGAAAAGCCCTGTCAAAGTAGGTATACCGATCTCGTATAGTTTGAATATCCGATTTTATTTGTCGTCAGATCATTATTTTGTGATCGGCGTAATCCTAATTTCAATGATAGCTGTTGACACACGCAAGGTCCGATTGCACAATCTGGCAGAGAGAAAGCAGAGCGCTTCCGCATAGACTTGGCAGTCAGCAGTGCTGCCGTGATAAGGAAGAACGCTGCGTATAAGCCCTCAGACGTTGCAATATTTCCCTCGATGAAAACCTAATTTACTGGGAATATTGTGAATGTTTCTCTTAAACTTTTCAGACAATTTTATTATTGCAATTCAATCTAAAATATCTGGTTTGGACACACAGATTATTTTTAGTCCAGGCGCCTGGTAAGTCTACCCGGAATTTTGGGTGCACAGCGATTTTTTTGGCTTACTTTATGTTTTTTGGGTCGCTGAATCCGAATCTGAAGTTTCCTACAGCGTATCTGGTGAGCATTTTCCGCCACTTTGAAAAAAAATGACCTAAAAGGCCTTTTTTCGGTTTTTTTTTTTTTTTATATAGCGGCTACGCATGAGAAAAAGTCCCGGATTTAGTTAATGTTTTGAATAGCTGACAAAATTTGGAAGAAAATGATTTATGAATATGCTAGGTTTGTTCAAAAATTGAGGAACCTCGGATCTCGGAACTTTGGAACGCTTCGGAACTTGGCTGACCGCGGCGAGCCGGATCGCGCGTTGACGGGTGCGCCGCGAAAACGTGAAATGGGCGCGATGTTCACGATGCTGTATCTTCCTCAATTTTTAAGCAAACCTAGCATATGTATACACCATTTTCTTCCAAATTATGTCAGCTATTCAAAACATTAACTAAATCTAGGACTTTTTCTCATGCGTAGCCGATATAAAAAAACGCAGAAAAGGCCTTTTCAGGCCATTTTTTCAAAATGGCGGAAAATGCTCACCAGATGCGCGGTAGGAAACTTCAGATTCGGATTCAGTGACCCAAAAAACATAAAGTAAGCCAAAAAAATCGCTGTGTACCCAAAATTCCAGGTAGCCTCATTTTTAGCTACCAGGCGCCTGGAATATTTGAGTAAAATTCACTTAAACTTTTCTCAAATTTAAAAAATAAGAGGCACCTAAATGCGCGTTGATGGCAGCGCGGAGATATAACTATTCATGCTTAGTGGATGTCCGTATTGTATCTGCAAAATTGAAGGCGTGATGGCGCGAAGTGTGATTTCGCAATACTCTGCTCTAATGAAGTGTCGCTCAGACTCAGGAGAAAAACTAAATAACAAGGCTTGAGTACGTTTTTAGTCTCTATTTTATGGTGTTAACGTCTCTCCTATCTTTGGTTGTGTTGCTCACAAAGCCCTTGAAGCACAACTAAAAATAACACAAACGGAACCATCACATCATGGAATTAGAGCAAGGGAAAAGAAGTGCGTTGATGACGGCGCAGAAATACAACTATTCGTACTTGTTGGATGTCCATATGGCATCTGTAAAATTGAAGGCGCGACGGCGCGGCGCGAGGCGTAAACTCGGAATGCTCCGTTTCAAGCTGCCTATAAAATATCGCTCCGATTCGGGAGGAAAGAAAGAAGATGAGGCCCGATTAAGCCCCTCCTATTTTCGGCTACGTTGTCACTCGATTTTTTTCTTCTTCTTTTTTTTTAGTTAGATGTCTAATTGTTCTTTTACGATGTACTTGTAGAACTATATATAAAGCTTCTGTAAACCGGTTCTCATGTTTTATTTTATTTCAGGGTTTTCTTTTAAGAATATAAGTACAGTTTTTCGGAAGAGTTTCCGGGAATTTTTCGAAATGATCTCAAATAAAATCATCAAAAATTTCTTTGCGATTTCGTTTGTCCTTTTTTCTTTTTATCAAACCCAAATTATTTTTACGAGGTTGGAGTTTCTAAATCGTTGCAATTAAGATACAAATTTTCTCTTATTTAATCATTTGTAAAAACCGGGCAAAGAATCAGAAGCGCCTAACTGATTTCAAACAGAATCAAAGACAATTTTGACCTGATATTTTCGTTCATTCTATTTTCTTTATTATTTTTATAAAAGAAAAAAAGAAAAAAAAGAGAGAAAAAAAAAATTAAACATTGTCCAAATTTCTGAATCCCTGCAATAACATACAGGATTGCAAAATCTCTCCAATCTTGTGATCCTAGGATTGCAAGATCGTGGTGTGCACTGTTCGGAAATTGTGCACACTGGGGTAAGTTCGATACCAAGAAAATACGATAATTCAACGACTTGAGCGCCCATCGTGGGGTATACGCGTATTGCATGAAGTATCCTGCAGACTTATAAGGCGCCCTACTATGCGTTGCGCTGCGACAGCGCCGCCGGTTGTGCGCACAGTGCTGAACGCGCGATGCATGAAGCATTCTGCAGACTTGTAAGGCGCCTTACTATGCGGTGCGCCGCGCCAGCGCCGGTTGCGCGCACAGTGCTATACGCGCGACGCATGAAGTATCCTGCGGTCTTGTAAGGCGCTACCTACCATGCGTGCCGAGCCGTGCGCGCCAGCCGCCGCCGCCGCGCTGGCCGCACTGTGTTTGATGTGATTTTTCAAACCTGCGTCAGCGGTTTTCCACTTATGATTTTGAAGTTTTTGTAAAGTTTGTGGAATTATTGTCATTTCAAATGATAAAGCATTACAAAAAAAACTCAACTGATTTTCTTCCCTTCGTTTACATATTTTTACAAATAATTTTCACTAAAAGAGTGGCAAGATCATTAGGACTGCATTTTATTATTCATAACTACAATTATTGGCTCATCTGTAGAAACTCTTGTGTGCAGAAGGAATGTATGTATGTACCATCAGTTTCTCTATGCACATAAGTGTTTTTACCGATGAACCAGAAATTATACTTCCTAATTGCAAAATTTAGTCCAATTGATTCAGTTGAAATACGATTTTAAATAATGATTATTTTCTTATTCTGTGGCTTGTTGGCCCTCTGTGATGTAGTGGTCGTAGTGCTGACCCTAAAACCCTGAAGTTCTGAGTTTGATTGCCTAGCAGGTGACCTGAGAAAATAAGGAACTGTGGTCTTAATTACAATACTCGCCCCTCATGGCTTCTTGAAATCGGTAAAAAAAAGAACAAGAAAAAGAAAAAAAAATAATCAAATTTTTTGTCAATATTGGTTATTCTAGATGAGAAAAATTAAGTGCAAATGGTGGGATTCTTCTTGTGTTTAGACGATTTAATTTGAAAAAATGAAACACAGAACAGTCAAAAAGTAACAATCAAGAGCTTTATTCAGAGATGGTAATACATGATTGGTGAGATAATTCTATGATTTTCGATTGACAAGGTGGTTTCTATTTAATATTATACCTGAGAGCAGCTATCATTCAATTTTTTTTTTATAAAAAGAAAAAAGGAAAAAAAGATGGCATTGATTGCTTCTGTCATGAGAAGTGTAAGAAAAAGAATTCTGATGGTCACCATTCTTTGCTGAAAAGTAACATTTTTTCGGAAAAAAATTCTCACAGTAAAACTTTTCAGTGCCATCATAGACACTTAGATAGCCATGACTTGAAATGAAATGAGATTTGCTGGTTGGCATCTTTTTGAGCATTTGACAATGATTTCTTACGATAATTCTACAATACTAATTAAGTGTGCTTCTTTTCAACTAGAGCCGGTCAGAGGTGTATGCATGAAATTATAAAAAAACAAACAACTGATAGAAAAAAAATACTTTTAACTGACTGTTTGGCACTTGGTTGAATGTTTCACAATGATTTAATTGTGTAAAAAACTGAAAAAAGATTAACAGGCATGACAAATTCCATTGTTCTTAGACAGAGAAACCTCAGAGTACTATCGGAAAAAACATTACATTTGTGAATGATTTTTCCTGAATATAACCGAAATGCACAAAGTAAAATGAGTAAAATAAATGAGCAATCTAAAATCATAAAAAACCTAAAATAATATTGCAAGAAAAAAAAACCTCTAAAAACTGAAATATTCTTGACTTACTGCAAGAAAGTGACTTGCAATTTTTGAAAAAAATCTTCCTCTTCAGCAATGTAATCCTAATCTTATCAGAGATATTTTTTTAAATACTTGACAAGAGAGGCAAAAGTATGTGGTAGTACAGTACAAGAGTTCTAAGTTTCAGAGAATTGATTGAGCATACATTTATGTGAAATCTGAATCTAAAAACTCTTAATGGCTACTACTCACACTTAAAATAATGCTGGTGTAAACTTATTCTCTTCTTCCTTGCTATAATCTATTGATTACCATTAACATTTGATTGAAGCTAAAAAAGCATGTACAACAGCTTAGTTACTAACTAAAACCAGCTTATAGCTTCATTACTACAGTGTTCTCTCGCTATAACGACACTAATTATAATGAAAATCTCTCTTGTGCGAAGGAATCGCCCCGTCCCTTGCCAATTTGTTACAACTAGAGAGTACTGTAGTTGTTACATTTATCTCAATTGTTCCATACTGTACTGCAGCATGTTTTGAACAGTTTGAGAAACTGTTATGATTTTGATAGAGAAATATAAACAAAGTTTGCTTTTAATTGGAGACAATTGTGAAAACGATAGACATCCTGCAAGTAACCGAAAAAATGCCAAAACAAGGCCTTACTATATTCTCAAAGAATGTATTTGAACATGGAGCTTCAAAATAATCTTAATAATACTACGGAAACAATAATACTTTTAATTTGACCATATCAAAAAGACAAACTTGACTAGGGGATAAAAAGGCACCGCAGGAGTAAAATATACCTTAATTCAATTATTTACTCAGAGATTCATTACTTGTGAACAATTTTACGTTAAGAATTAATGCATCTATAGTGAATTTTGAAAGGTGACAACAATTTTTCCTTCTTGTCATCCACTCATGTTTGAGTCATTGGATGAATTCCACATTTGTGGCAAAAGAAAATAAAAGAGAAAAAAATGAAAACAACAAAGCTTACGTATACTAATATGTTAAAGTAGAAAATTTTGGAACAAAATTTCGGTGAAAATTAGTCTCAGTGGGGTCTTTACTTATTTGTTGCCAAACTTGAGTTGCAGCATCAAGAAGAATATGATTAGACTTATGCTAATAGAATTATTATTCGATGGGGCAGCGAAAACCCATACATTCATTTACAAGGGGAGAAGAGGCTGATTAAACTCCGACGGTCAAGTACACACCGTACTTTCTGAAAAGAAATTTGCAAAACTGGATATTGCTGACCCATTTATGAATTATAATTTTGGGAGAAAGTTTCAGGAAAGCTTCAAAGGCCGTGAATCTTAAAAAAATAAAAATGTTCTAAAATCTTAAGTAAGCATATCACTTCTGTCTTGATGATAAAATTGCGGCAAAATTAAATGAATTATGTAAAGTTGAGCAAAGAAGGATACCGGATACAAAATTATCACTCTCCATCTTGTCTTAGTCCACTTCAATTTTGTCATCAGGCACAAGGGAGGTTTCCTTTTTTCTACATCCTTTTTGTTAAAAATGAAAAAAAAAAGATTTGAAAAATTGCTCATGATTCTGACGTAAGATATAAAGAGGACAGTATCAACAGTATGGTTACTTCAGAAATCGTTTGTAGTGATGCTCTAAATATAAATCTATTACCCGATTTCAGTGAAAGTACTATGAAGCGAAGAGTTCTTTTCCACCTGGCATGATCAAGGTCCTGAGACATCAGAGTTTGCTTGTCAGGTCGGTGTGACGAGTGATGATGTTTAAAAACTATTCTTACTTTGTGATATTTTATGTGCTATTCAAGAGGTTTTTAAAAGACAAGTAGGTGTTCAAAGTATCGGAGTAAAGTCTCAGATTATCACCTTGCATCTTTTCCAACAGCTTCGGCAACAGATTTAAAGCCATCTCTCCTGGTAAAGAAAAATAATATTTTTGAGCGATGCAACAGAGTACAAATGTACAAATAAAATAAATAATTTATGTGCAGGAGTGTATGTGCCTTTAATGAGTCTGTTTTGATTAGTAGATAACGTATGAAATGTGGTCGTTAATGAATTTCATTTCTTTAAAAATAAAGATAGATGCACTAGCAGAGTCTGATAAGACTATGCGTCAGGCAGATCCAAATTGTGATGGATGTTAGGGATGTGAAGAATTCTTGGTCCTTCCATTTTTTTAATTTACCTTGCCATTTTAAAAAAACATTTTTCTTCAAAAATTTCAAAATACATAATTTTCACCTTGAATTTGAGGATGATGTAGAACTTGTCTCTAGCGCATGCGGCTTTCTCATTTTTAAAACCTGTTTTCAATGGTGAGATATTATTAGGAGAGATTCGTGTTATGCAAAACAAAAGATGTTTATATTGTTTCTTGCTGCTTAAGACTAGAGCTGTAAACGAGCTTAGGAAGGTGGAGGACGTTTGGATTCATCATCTAGTCATTCACGTAGAAGAGTGGATTTAAAGTAAGCTCAACTATTATTTTTTCTTGAGATCTATCAATACTAGGGAAAAACCAAACAGCATTAAAACGTACATTCTCTCAGCTTTTTGTGAGCTATCGTTTTGTATACTGTTCAAAATAAGAGATTTTTTACATTCGACTTTTCCCTAGATGTGCCCATTTTTCATGTGCTATGGAACCTCACAGAAAATAAGTTAAAGTAATGAGAAAAGTGAACAGGAGTCATCAGTACATTGAATCAAGTTAATTGATGCTTTTGAAACATCTTACCTCACTTTTTGACATACTCACCCACCAGATCCTTGCATTTTTCATATCAGAGCGACAATTTCCGAATGACAGTTTTGTAAAACTCTTGCTCGACATTCCTGGGCTAGATATTGACGCTAACTTTCACCTCAGCGTCATTTCTAGAGGATTCGTCTCTGAGGAAATTTTTTCATTCCGGAACAAGATAGAGACCTTAAGCGCTAATTCAGGTAAGTAGGTTGCATGTAGGAAAAATTTACACATAAATTTATCAAGCTTGCGTTAACGCCTGAGCCTGACTCAGGAGTAGGTATGGACCAAGAATTTTACAAAATTGATGATTGGAGATTGATGTGTCGTTATGTAAGATGTGAAGATCTGGTGTTGAGTATATTAGAAAGTGAAGTAAAATACTACCATAGTGTCTTTTTACTAGACTTAAAAGAATAGTGACCTTAATTTACTTTTTCAAAGACTGTAACTTCATTTTCCGTGTGGTTTTGCAGCGCATGAAAGGTAGGCACGTAAGAGGGAGGTGAGTATAAAAAATTCACAATTTCTCTGCAATTCTCAAATCAAATTTGAACAAGTATTGCTAATTGGAAAGCTGAGAGTATTTAAAGTGTAATGCTGATTCAGTTTTTCCCCCAGCATTGAAGGTTCTTGAGAAAAAAAAGAGGCAAACTTAATGCAAAATCCACCCTAATGGTTGAAGTTGTATGTGAGTAAAAACTGAAAATACCTTAAGCATTCATCTAATTCTCTCTTTATTTTGGTGACAACCGGGGGGCCATGGTACACCAGCGTAGAGTAAATTTGCACCAAACTAGCACCAGCTTTGATTTTTTCATATGCATCTTGACCAGAAGATATTCCGCCAACACCAACAATTGGAACTTTCCCTGAGAAAACACAACATCAATGAGCCAGTTTTATGAGACACACAGCAATAAAATTTATTTTCATTATTTTGATATTCCAGACAAGGTACCTCTTTGCTGTGGTATGGTAAATTTGCTGATATTTAGTAAGAAAACTTTCCATTGCTTTCATACCTCATTTTTTTTCTCTTTTCATTTATTTTTGGAACTACAAAATAAAAAAGTATAAGTAATTAGAGAAAGATCAAGTCTTCCTTTGGGCATTAAGAAAAATTATTTATCAACACCCATACCGTTTTTTTTTCTTAAAAAGTGTTTTGGGTCAAAAGACAAGGAGACTTTGTTCAAACTAAAACGCTGACTCACCTTTGGTCAACTTGTAGAATGTTTTGATTAAACTTGTTGACATATTTGCAATTGGTTTGCCACTTAATCCTCCCGTCTCTTCTACGTGATCACCATTGAGTGTGGCTGGCCTTTGAATGCTTGTATTGGATATTATTAGACCATCTACTTTACACTGAAAGTAAGAATGAAACTTATACATAAGATTATCTAATAATGGCATCATTTGGGAAATAAAATAATCTATCTGATTTTAACTGTGATTTTAAGAGGATTTTGCCTTTTTACATACTGTTTTTAATTTTTTGGACTGATTTTGATGGAATGTAGCACACAAGACATACAACCGACTGAGTGGACTTCCTTTCAATAAAATGGAACAAAAATCATGCTCAGCATATCAGAAATGTTTAAACTTCACTCTTTAGAGCTCGAACTGCATTGTTCTTTTCAAAATTACCAATGCTTGAACAAGTAAAAGCTTCATTTCAGAATTTGGTGTATTAAAATTCTCAAATTTTTTGAAGAACACCAAACAAACCAATGCATCCTAAAATGCTGGTGAACATTCTTCTTTAAAATGATTGCAGTTATTTGAAAAAAGAAGAAGGAAAAAAAAAACAGGGGGGAAGCTGTAATATGTTTGTATTAAAGACGCGTTTAGCTTTTTTCTATGTGGGCGCATTACGAAGTTCCCCAAAGAAGATATGCAATATTGAGTGAAAGAACTTGCCTCCCCAAAATTTCAACTATCAATTTTGAGAAAAGTACAATACCGTTAAAAAAATAAATTATAGAAAAACGATTATCGTCCTCCGCCCTTTGATATCAGAAGCATTAAATAAAGGTTTAACAGATAAATGTAATCTGAATATGTGAGGCCCTTATCCGCCATCTTGTTGTTGAGCCGGTGCGCCATTTAGATGCATTGCCACTAGTATGCTAGAATTCTAGACGCAGGTCCAAATCAAAAAGCACTCCCTATCAGACAAGGGCTTAAAATAACATTACATAAAAAATTTACCTTAGGGTCATTGATAACTTCTACAATATCTTTGCATTCATCATATGAAAGATCTGCTGATAATTTCAAGAGTAATGGTGGATGTGGTAGAAAAGCTAGATTATTGCGAGTTGTGACAACTTCCTGTAGGAGTTGCTTCAAATTTGATTTACTCTGCCAGTTTCTCAGGCCTGGAGTGTTGGGACTGTGGAAATAATATAATAAATTTTTGTCAATTGAAAAAAACTGTCAGTAGTGTACATCATTGTGATTTGATAATAAATTACCTTCTAGGGTAGGAATGAAGTAATACTGTGCTCAGAGGCTTTGACTCTCTGTATCTGCTATTCAAAAAGTATCTGATCTATATCTTGAAATTTTTAAGGGCCTGCTTAACTAGTAGGCGTTATTTATGAGAACGAAATTTATGTTGGGCATAAGTTTCTTACTGTATCAAAAGTTTAACAAACTACAAAGGTACACCATCTCTTAGTATCTTCAACAATCGAGTTGACAAATTAATGTCATTTTGCATCATTGAAGTATTTGATAGAGTAATAATAAAAAACCATTGCACAGATAGTTTTAGTGTACTGAAGTTTATGATATGTAGTAGGAATGTTAGTTTTTTGTGGCTTTCTATGATGTCTGGAGAAAAATAAGACATGAGAAAAGTTATCTTTGATTTGCCTAATTTAAGAGGTTGAACCGCCAGAATGTTACTTCATGACAAGAGGAGGAAACGTATAATCAAAATATTGTGTCAGAAGACATCTTACCTTGATACATTTATAACTAGATAGTCTGCAACTTCTCCAAATTTTTGAACGCCAAGGACATAATCAGAAATTAGGCTTTCTGAAGTTTTGTTTTTACCGAGGTTAACGCCAAGACAACCACGAGATTTACTCTTTGCCTTGAATTCTAGGATTCTTTTGTAGACAGCTTCATGGCCCTCACTATTAAATCCATACCTGATATAAACAAAAGTAAGAAGATAACAATATTACGCTGCAATACAACAATAATTTAATTGAATTGCGCTGCAGAAAATGTTTGAGGAACGCTACACAAATACCAACAAACTCAATGTATACAAATGATGCATCTTAAATTTTTCTCCCAAGCAAGATGACAAAAATTTGTGCAGGGTGTTCTAGATGAAGGAGATGTAGTTATACAGACCCCTTTTGTTTCCTGGAATTTGCTTTCTAAATTATATTGTTCTTGATGGAGGGAGCAGCGAGTAGACAATAAAACGTCCAAGTTGTGTAAAAATATTTTTCGGAAATTGATCACCCTTGTCACTTAACATAATGATCAGTATACTGTAAAGACAATCACACTCAATACAACACAGTCCACGTGTTCAGTATGTGGAGCAGTAGTTTGTCTTAACTCTTCAAAAGATTAAAACAGAAGAATAAAGTGAAAAAAGCTATTACTTAGTCCTCAATTCAAGTCTCACCTATTTATGATTGCTTCATCTACTGCCAGACGAAATACCCGAGGTTTCTCATTTCCTGGTTGGGGTAAAGGTGTAACAGACCCAACTTCAACAATACCAAACCCTATGTCAAACAGTCCTTGAATAGCGTCACCTTGTTTGTCAAAGCCAGCCGCTATACCCACAGGATTGTGGAATGTCAAATTCCACACACCCGTTACCTGCAATTTAATAAATATATGTGTTTTAACAGAGGCTCAAACTAACATCAGGGATGTAAAAGTTTCTTTGTTTCAGTTTTTTACTTAATTTAAAAAAAAATAAAAAGAAAAATAGAGTCAAGCGAGCGGCTCAGTGTATAGTTAAAGTGTTGATTGGCTTAGGTGAGCCCGGTTTGTATAAATCGGCCTAAGTTTTATCCCATGAATAATATCCTAAGCCAGTCACTGACACTGCATCTCGGCCATAGCTATTCAAAGCATACAATAGACTTAAGGTAATATTTATGTTTGAAATTTTAAGTGGATGAATAAAAAAAAGAGGTCAATAAACTAAAGAAACAATAGCTGACAGACCTAACATCTTTCTGCCGAAAAGTTGTATGCATCTAGTTGACTGTTCAAATCACAAGATTAGTCTAAAATGGAGGAAGGGTAAAGGGTGCTAAACGCAAACTTAAAAATTTCATTTCCGGTTGAGTGAGGGAAAAATAAGAATTATGTAATTTTCTTAATGAGTTCTTTTTAAAAATCTTGGAGAGTTGTAATGTTGATAATTTGATTTTTTGATGAAAATTTCAAGTATGGTCTCCAGCAAGAACATTGAAAACCGTTGAAACAATTAGTATTGCCAATATTTAACAGTAAACACTTAAGGTTTCCTTGTCAATAAATAGAAATCATATTTACCAGAGAAGGTGGGTCAACAAATTTTGACTTTGGAATGAGTCCATATTTCAAGGCTTTGATTGTTAAATTGTGCGCAGTTTCAGGAGAGACTTTGTGCATTAAAGGTACGATGAAGTTTTCGTAATACTTTTCATTCTCATTGTAGATGTTGAGAGCAGAAAAAGTGGTAAATCCGCCAGTTGAAACAATGGCAAGGGCTCTTAATTTTTCCTGTGAAGTAAAATTAGATACATTTGAACGAATGTGGATTTAAAGGTGTTACCATGTTAATTTTAAGATACTACCTTGGACATATAGGTACACAAGTGGGTGAACAAAATTTTTCATTCTGATGATGCAGGAGGATCGTCGTTATGAGTTCAGTCAAAAGATTGCTAAATATTAGTAGCTTATACTTGATTATGTTACGAAAAGAAACAAAAATAAATCGGAGTATTGAAAGAGCAATTGGTGCAGTTAAGGGGCCATTGATTCAGCAAAAGTTTTGACTCTCATTTTCCAGAATCTAGAGCCTAAACTCAATTTAAGTAGGTACAAGCTTATAACGAAACTACAATATTTTTTCTATGGGAAGATAGGTTGACTCCTGGACTGCTCTACAATGTTTAAACAAAAACTGCGGAAATCCACTGAGTACAAATTTTGAACATTCTTTTCAGACAGGACATTTCACAAGAAGAGAGCTTACTTAGGCATGTAGCTACATCTCTTATTCTATCAAGAAACATACACCATACTCTTCAGTATTTATCCTGAAAAAACAAATCATGTGGTATGGAAGTTGCCGTGTTCTAAGATAATGCGTCCCAGGAAATTTGCAAAAGCTAGAATGGAGAACCACCGTTCTTCCCTCCCAGTGATGAGGGATCATTTAAACCTGGGATTACGAAGAAATTATCATCTTAAAAGGAACTTACAAAAATAATCCTTCCTCGACTTGCCATGTTGAACAGTGAGCAAACGGTTCATAAAAAAACTTGAGACGGGAAAAGTTTGAATCTAAAAGAAGACAAAAAATAAGATGATTAAGTAAGGAAGGAAAGGTGGTCAAATAAAATGTGCTTGCTTTCCAGCTCTTTTGTTTCTGCAAATTTGTCAAAATTCCAAAGTCTAATGAGCATTCTTTAAATAGACATGAGTTGTCAAAAGTGTAAATTTTCAATTGTGATACAATGGCTATGAGTTAATAAAAATTCAAACTAAAGGCATCACTGAATGTGACAAGTAAATCTTTAAAATGTTGCCATACTGCTGAAAGGGCTGACAGATAAAATACAAAGTATAAAATTCGCTGGAAGTGCCACTTGGACAGAATTATTTCCAAAGCAACAATGGTTATGTTGTTCCTATCAGGATAGAGCTTCAAATAAAGAAACTGTAAGGACAGGCAATGATAACAAGAGAGAACATTTCATGATGCTTACCCCGTAAGTAAATTTAATAAAGTTCAGGGAGGATTAAAGTACTATGGGCACAGTGTAGCCCTGTACAAAGTGCCAATCCAAAATGGTGCGTAAATGGTTGCCGTTAATAGGTGAGATTATTTGGTACGAAAACAATTCTTCTTTTCTGAGCAATCGCTCACAACACTTGGAACGGAGTCTTGGGGATGTAATGTTCCTATAGACTGGGGAGAAAATTTGAACCTACTCACCCAAATAATTTTTGAGGGTTTGTGTGATAAGCTAGAAAAATTTGTTACTTACCCTCTGAGATAGCGATGAGAATTAATTCCTCAAATTTTTCCAACCATGCAGATCTGAGAGAGCGTCAAGAATAAAACATCAACATGCGTGGAGGGTATAGTTCCTTTCTTGGTTACAGGCTAGGTTAGCCTATTAGGACACACATTATTTCTTGAAAAAAAAAATGAATTCAATGCTTAAAAAACTAGAGTTCTCAAAATTAAATAAAATATTGAAAATTACAAAGAGACAGATGGACCGGGGTGCGAATAGGTTATGTTGATTGTTGATGTTGTGATACCGGAAACGGAAGTCTGTGAAAAGGCGGGAATGCGAGGAAGGCGGGAACGCGAAGAAGGCAGGAACGCGAAGAAGGCGGGATTAAATTCAAATTTTAGCGCCAAAGTTTAAATTTGCGGGTGACCATTTTGCGAGCGTCAGTTCTCAACAGGCTTTTTTCTCGCTTATTTAAAGTCGTTTAAAGTCGGAGACTGCAAGTTAACGTACAGAATCGACTCTGAGGAATTCAAATTTCACTGTCCCGACCCCCGCCCTCGCCCCTCTCGGGGAGTAAAAAAAGGGGGGGGGGCTCGTGACTTTACAAGTTGGGGTTCCCCTCAGTATTTTAAAATTATTTTATCGAAGTTATCGAGAGCGCAGCATATATTTTACTCTAAATCGATACCGAGAAATCCACCATGTTTTCTCAGGCAATCGACCACCGAGAATTTGAATTGGACGATCCCGAAGCCCCCCCCCCCCCCCCCCCCCCGAGCATTTTCTGATGAAATACAGAGGATTCACAATTTCCCTTGTGGCACATCAGCAAATGATCGAGGGCTGCGAGATCATCCAATTTGAATTTCTGGTGGTCAATCACCTAAAAAAACATATTTTTTCTGAGCCTCTCCGGCAGTGTGGCTATATTGAATTTTGGGGAGGGGGGGGGGCTGTTCTCCACCCGCTTTAGGGGTCAATATTTCGAACAGGAGTGGTTTGATTTTATGAATTTCTTGGTAGCAATTTGGTGGAAATTTTTCCGTACGCTTTCCGAGTTTGATGGAATAATTTCAAAATTTTGAAGGAAGCCCCAACTTTTAAAGTCACGAGTGCAAACTCCTTGAAGGACTGCACTGGGAGAACAGGGTACTTAAGCGGTTAGGCTTCGGCAGAGAATCAGAGAGAACCTCCACTGGCCTCTTGGTAACAGGTGGAAACCTTTACTTTCGGGGACTGAACACTTTTTTATGGACAATTATTATAGGGAGTTACAGTCATCACCCCTTTTTGGGCTGTTGAGCTACCTCCTAGTAGGATGACGAGCTTCGAGTGGCGTAATGAGCCAAACTTTGGTTTGTTTGCAAAAAGAAACTCTCAATGGGTTGTTAACCATCCAGCTGGTAGGTCAGCAGTTGAATGGTGGAGTCCCGAAAGTAGATGCTTTGACCATTATGCCACACCAAGATACCAGTGAATGATCTCTTGTCTCTGAGGAGGACAGGGCACTGTGGCGGTTAGGAGTTGCAGAGCGCTTTAGAGCGCTTGAGTGGCTCTTATGTGTACATGTAAATTCGGGGTTCAGGGGGCTCCCATAAGGTACGGACTCGCAGACGCTGGCTGGAATCTCCAGCAAAAGACCTTGAAGGCTCGAACGTGGACAAAGGCAACCAGAATCCCCATTTCGAAGCGGTGGCACCTGAAAGCCTCTTCTTTTGCAACGCGTTGTGCGGTGCCGGTGCGGTCGGGGGTCGCTTCCGACCGCGCCCGACGCGACGCTCTCGATTATCGATTATTCGATATCGAATGACCTTGATCGATAGAAAGCACTGCCAAGATATGGACTTATCGATTATGCAGGATCGATTCACGATGAAAAAAATCGACCAGCAGATCTGTTTCAGCGAAGACGGGCGTGGTCCGATCCGATAGATCTTCATCGTATCCCGTCCGTAGCCTCCCCCCTCCCCCTTCCCCCGGATATTGGAGATCTGAGACCGCGCGACGGAATCCTGGTCTTGACCGCGCCCACGGTGCATCCGTGGACCGTGGCCATCGGGTTTCCTCGTCGGATAGGTTTACGCACCAGGCGTGCTCTGCGATATATCGATTGATCGACCATTTAAACCTATGGAAAAATATCGATAAACAGGGTGTTCGTAGCAAACACCTTGATACTCGATTATTTACCACAGCTTCAAATGGGGAAATATCGATGGATCGCAAAGCTCGCCACGCCAGTGGCATGCTTCCTAGGAAACCGGTGGATAATAATTCAGTAAAGTGTATACTTCCTAAGAAATGACTTTACACTCAGCTATACTATGGTTAAAATAACTGTATCAGGTGTGTGACATGTAGGTGTCTTATGAAGAATTTACGATTCTTTAAACTTTTGTGTTTGACACCGGAATTACACGCTGAATGTGGGAGCTGAACGTGGCTTGAATGTGGAAGTCATCGGCCCGATGCTTATTCAGCAACGAGGCTTTGCGACCATGGGATTATGTCGGATTTTTCTGAACTATTTGGATGGATTTGATACAAATCTGGATGAAAATAACTCGAATTTGCGAAATTTCAGCCGCTGAGCGATGACTGTTGAATTCCATATTCAGCTGCCAAATTCAGTGTGTGATTCCGGCATAAGTTGTAATTACTGAGTAAACTGAGCCCACAGTGTTTAGTGTATCCACGTAATGTAAATTTAACAATTAGTAGACATTATTTGATTAATTTTCTAAAATAGATGTGTTTAAATGAGAAATGTAGTCTGATGACGTCACAATGTGGTGCATTCTTTTTTCTTTAAATGTGTTTTTTTATATTTCCCACATCAGAAAAAAATTATGAAAAAAATTGCGAAATCAGCTCATTCAGCACTTTCAGATGAAGCAATAAAAATTCTTTACGCCAATCCTCTACTAATAGAAGCCATAACTGATAATAGTGATATTCACCATTACGACTACTGTAGGGTAAAATCACCGAGGTGGTAAAAATACTAAAATACTCTCGTACAAATGCAAGAGTATTGGTATAAATATAACTACCTATTAATGGTTATGACTACCATCGATCGAAAGTTCATGTGGGGCACCTTTAATGTCGCAATTTTAAATTTTGTTTTTCTCCCAGAATAGTTAGTTGATTCAATAAGACGATAAACGATCAGCATCTATTGCTATTTACGAGACTCTTGTTTTTTTTTTTTTTTTTTTTTTTTTTTTTTTTTTTTTTTAATTATATATATGTAGGACTGATAAATTTTGATAGAAATTAATATTTTTCCCTCTCCATTTTTTATAATGTATTTGTTACAATAATTAAGACACACTGAAGTTATTTTTAAAAATCAAGGATATTCCTCGACGTATGCCATAAATATCATATCTGAGACCAAATGTCACAGTAAATGTTGAAAATTAAATTTTGAGCCATAACAAATTTCTTCGAAATATTTGGAGAAAGTTCATGATTTAACCGATATTTTTAGATTATCCTCGGATTACTGGAATGACTAGTCACGTAACCATAGAAAGATTACACGAGTATTAAATGTTCATGGATGGGAGGGGGGGGGGTTACAATCAGACCTCGAGCCGCGTTGCTAATTATTGACCGATATTTTATTTTATCCAGCGATGGCTCTAACTAATGAAAAATCAAGTCTCAAAGTCTTTCAAGGGCCAAAAAGGAATTCTGAAATTTGTACTTCCCCCTCAAAATTCCAGAAATGAATGAAGTTTGACTCTTTCTCATTTTCAATTGTGTCATGCAATATCGACTTTTGCACTAATTCTGAATATATTTCTTTCATCACATTTGACCATTTTCACAGCATCTCCTCAGATCGTAGGCAATTTTTGATGGAATAATATGTGTAGATTTATAGTCATAGAAAAAAGGAGTAAGAAAATTGGAATTTTTTGTGAATTATGAGCTAGATTTGAAAAATAGAAACTATGGCGTACTTTCACACCGAAAAATTCGATGAGATGTGTCTTACCAATTGTACCATGATGTACATAAAAATAGTAAACCCAACTGGTCCCGCAAAATATTTCAGAATTCATAAATTGATTGAAACAAAACTTACGTGATCAAACATATTTTTGATAGGGTCAACGTATAGAAATCAACATTCTAAAGTGCCGAAACATTCCACAACTCACACTGAATAATGTTTCCATATGGAAGAAACTGCAATTTTTATGATCCGTCAAAAGTAAGAAAAAAAATGGCAATAAGTGCAAAGCTTACCCGAAAATCCTTTCTTTGCGAAATGATTTATTGATCTGAGAGTTTAAGCAGAAAAATTAACGTTAAATCATTTCGCACCACGTTATCACTCTGTGACAATTTTTATTATTATTTTGAGAAAAAACTAAGAGAAACGTTCACAGTTACTGAGAGTGAAACTGATCGAATGTGCCCGCTCGATTTTTAGATTATTCAAAAGAAAGTAAAGAGTATCAGTACCCAAGTTCAAGGAGAGAGAATCAAGTGCAAAAAAAAGTTTTTTGCACCAGCAGCCTTGAGACTGACATTGATTAAGCTTTCAAGTAGCACTAATGCACAAATTGCCGAAAGTATAAATCAAGTGGGACTCAAAAAATGAGATAAGATAGATGTCAAACTCGCTCTTATTACATTGGTATTAAGTCTAATCGGACAGTAAGAGAGAAATGTTCCAAGAATAGAAACTTTTTATAAAAAATGTTTCGTTCGGATAGTTGAGGTTTCGAAAATATAATTTGACAGCTTAACCGAGGTTAAACCAGAAACCTCCTACAGAAACCAATAATTCCTTTTAATTTGAGACCTTCAGTCTATGCACCCACAAAGATATTCCCAAAACTTTATGTTTGACTGCTGATTTTTTACCTTAAATCGGGAATCGCAATCAAATAGAATCGGAAAAACACATTGGGGGAGGGGAGAAACCACGTGTCGTCGTCCATTTTTTTGATAAATTGTAAAGATTGATATATGTAAGATATATGTAAAGTAGAGTTTGCTATTTTCAATAGAATCTGGTGAGCAAAAGTGTAATTGTCAATTTATAATATCTTATCCTTCAATTAGGGGAAAATGAAGGAGAGAACAACTATAAAGAAAAAATGAAAAAATGATCCCAAAAATGTTGAGTTATGACGTTCAACCAGATGCATAAAGAAAACAATTTTAAGTTGTAGAGGGTGGCAACTGATTTCTGTCGATAGCTTGAAATTTATTTATTACTGTACACATTTCCAGCCCTTACAATTTTTTTGTAGGAATAATCCGTCTCTTTCGTTGGCAACTAAAAGTAAAATTGGTAAGTTATACTAAAATTTATAGCTACCCTTCCTTCTTTCCTTCGGTTGTGCATGCATAATGACGAAAAGAAAACGGCCGGTTTGTAATCAATACTTTTTGTATTTTTTTTTTCATAAAAACTTTCAATAATTTAATTACAAAAACTTACACTCTAGCGAACTGAGTATATTACAAGAGATGACTTCTGTACAGAGGAGACACCACTGAGAACGTCTGCAAGAACGCATCGGTACGCATACAGCCAAAATTACCGGAACTCTTCGAGTCTTCAAGCATTTCAAAATTTCAGCTCCCGATCCAAAGTATTCAGCCTAAGCTCGAGTGGGCGAATCAAAGACATCAGTCCGCCCAGCTTTCAAACTCAAAGTTCCTCGGTCTTTCAGCGCAACGGACTCTGTTCCGCCACCCTCTCAGTGGGGAGGAGAGACTTGGAAAGAAGAAGAAGAGGAAGAACGATCAGCTTAGTTCTTGTTGAAGGTGTAGCTGAAACCGTCCGGAGATCTGTTGAGGTTGAGTCTGCCCGGGGGGTAGAACCTGTGTGGGGCGGGGGTGGTGGTGCTGGGGTCGTAGTTCCAGGCGACCTGTTGGGGGTTGGTGGCGGCCCAGGAAGCGCGCTGCTGTTGTGGCTGTTGCCACTGGGGTTGGGGTTGGACGGGGGCCGGCGTGGGGCTGTCGGCTCCGGAGTTCCAGGTGCCAGGGTCGTCCCACATGGTCCACTGTTTGGAGTCGTCCCAGTTACGTTCGGTCACGGCTGGGGCTTGGTTCCAGTTCTGGGCGTTTTGGTTCCAGTTCTGGGCGTTTCGGTTCCAGTTCTGGGCGGGGGGGTTGTACTGGGGGAGGGGGGCTACTGGGGGTGGGGCGACGGGGACTCCGTCTCCAGTGGCGCGGAAACCGTCCTTGCCGGCGGTGTAGGAGATGACCCGCTTCTGGCCGGAGGGGTCGACGTAGGAGTATGAGCCTACGCGGTTGCCGGCGGCGTCTGTCTCCTCTTTGAAGTCGATGCCATCCTCTTGGGTGTAGCTAGACCCGAACTGGCCGTTGCCTGACAGATACCTGGCATCGGAGATGATGGCTGCCTCCTTGGAGGACTTGTGATACTGGGCTGCCGTCAGGCTGGTGAGGGCACAAAACACCACCTGAAACAGGCAAATGAACGTCCACGGTCAAAAAATGTCTCAATTATCTTGAGCAAATTCGAGGGTACAAATAAAACCATTCATTAAATAAATGATATCAAGAGGAGTCTCGCATGGCGCGAAAATTTTGCGTTTTTACGACTCTCCAATGAAATCTAAAACTGGATGGGCAGCAGTTCTCCAGCCCTCACTTTCAGTTTAAAGATGCACGATGGACGATGGTTACAAACCGTTTTCTTCCATGTACATTACGGTAAAAAAAAATAAAAAAAAATAAAAAAAAAATAAAAAAAAATAAAAAAAAAAATAAAAAAAATAAAAAAAAAATAAAAAAAAATAAAATAAAAAAAAGAATAAAAAAAATAAAATAAAATAAAATAAATAATAAATAAATACTAATACTATTTTAATACTTTTAAAGTTCCAGTCAAGCAATTGGTAAAAGCAAAATCCACTTAACCATTGTTTCAAAAACCTTGTTCTTGGTAAATTGAGTTTCATTTAAGAAATCATATGATTACTCTATTTCATGGTATACTGCGTTCATCCTTCCCTCCAGTACCAAGTAATGTTATTCGAAGTTAATTCGAATCTTTGACCAATATTTAATCGCAGTGAAGGATGCGCATTAGTCTGTCACGAGCTTCATTCTCACGTCAAACGATGGTGAGATATGCTAATTCAGCCATCCGGAATCATAAAACAAACATTCCACATCTTGTTTACAATTGAAAATTAGTCTCATTCTATCAAGTGCAAGCTACGCAGCTTGGGTGCGAATTTGAATCACGCGCTGAGGATAGAATTAGGGGAGGAATGATCTCGATTAAAGTTGCCACATTGAAAAATGCAAGCTGTAATATTCATTAGCGAGCATCAATTGAGGGGACATTACTGGTGATGTGGATTCAGGCAGTTGCATACATATTTTAAAGTTATAAAGTGTTTCAATATTTAAAATTGTGTTACATGTGTACAAGTCGTACAAACTTTCTTATTTTTGGTTTTTGGCTATATCACGAAAAGTCAAAAAAAAAAAAAAACCCCTCGATTCGTCTCAATTACCAAGTTTTATTTTTCTGTCAGAAGAAAAAAAACTTCTCTTAGACTTTCACACAGAAATTTCGGGAATCAATGATTTTGAAATTCTTTAGAGATTTTGAAACATTTTAAAAAGTATGCACTTTTCTCTATCCGGATCTGCGTTTTCTGCGTGCCAATGATAAAAAAAAGAAAAGAAAAGAAAAATTAAAATTGAAATTGTATCATTTCCTTCATGTTTCAAATCCTCGAAACTGAGTGAGGGGGGCAGAAGACACGCTATCCATCCAACTTTTTTGAAAATTATCTGTAGACTTAACACAGAATATTGCATGCGGCTTAAACGTTTACTAAATCATTCCGTTCCGAGAGAAGAAATAACTAAAAGTAAGCAACGGATCAAATAAAAGTAGGTGCACCGTGAGGCAAGAGATCCATTAAAAATTTAAGCAGTTTAAATGCTACCAGGCGGCAACGCGATTCAGAATGTTTTCAGCACTTGAAAACGCGGAACGAGTTAAAACAGCTTGGCGCGCCAACGCCGTGAGAAAAAGCACAGGGCGGCCGGCGACAATATGCCGATTGCGACTCGGGAACTTAGAAAAATAAACACGAAACCGGACGAGCCACGCGATTCGGCACGGACGCCACTCGAAACGATTTAAAATCAAAACATCGCATCTAAAAAATCCACCAAGTTTCGTAGGGTCCCTTTAAAACTGGGTATTGACACTTTTAATTGAGGGTTACCAGCGGGAGAGGGTCGCACGCTTCGGGAATCTGGGACTCAGTTCACGATTTTGCCCGAGGTCGCCTTGAAATTGGCGCTTAGGCAACACCAATTACGCTGATAATCCGTCACCTTCCGACCAAAGTATCACAAGCGGCATGCGACGTCTCAAAATTTCCGCCGTCGTTATTTTTTTACAAAGAAATTTTTGATTGTTTTTCTTCATTTTTAGATTATTCTAAAAGTGGACCTCCCCCCAAAATGTTTTAAACAGATCGGCGTATCTCAGGTTTTTCAAGTAAAGAATATTTTGCCCTCATGTACAATTGGATGGATCTAACCAAAATTTACCGAACTACATTTGACGATGCAATATTTCCTCTCACTTTTTTGATTCTTTCAACAAAAATCCGAATAACATCCAGACTTGAAATTTTGTGCTCATATTTGTCATAATATAAGGAAAATTTTCAAAAAGTTTCGAGGCAATATATATATATATAGTCCATTCTTAAAAAAAAAAACGAAAGCAGGGGTGAACTTTAGGTAACGTGAAACGCAATCAGGCTGATTATAGCTATACGAGTGAAAAAGGATCTTGTATAATATATTACAATAGCCACATTTTCTTTTTTGCAAATCATTATCACTAAAAACATATCGATTCATTCTCCGTCCATACACCTAATTGTGACATCATCACGAACGAGTCAATTGAGTCGAAGAAGATAAACTCCGGGCCCTGGGGAAGGGACATAACCACACTCCAGGGACCAGCAACGGGAAAAGGGTGAGAAGGTACGCTCAGGAGGGACGGGGAGGGCGGAGCGGAGGGGTTGAAAAAACACTCGGCAAACACGGAGCCAGGATCCTCCGTACGGGGAGGGCGCGGTGTGAACAATTGAAGTGACTCTGTCGCGCAGCGCTTCCTCCCGTCCTAAAACCGCGCAACTCCACCCACGAACACACGTGCACTTACGATGTTCTTACTCAGCGAGGAGATACCATCGGAGGGAGGGGAGGAGGGGCTCTGCGAGTGCGGTGACCGCTGAGATAACCGGCGGGTGGCGCTTCGAGTGGCGACCGCCGCGCGTCCGAAATTGATTTTAAACCGCTTTTCAAAACTCCGCCGCCCTGCGCCCCCCCCCCCCCCCCCCTTTGAGGCCGCGGCTCCTGAGATGCGCGCGAGGCGGATTTCAGGCCTAATTGAGCCGCTCGAGTGTTTGCGCAATTCCGGCGCTGAGGTTAGGATCATCCGTGGGATGCCCTGATTCGGCTGGGATACAGGGAGGACCGCGATTTATTTGGCTGTACGTCATTCGATGAATCGATTCCACAAGATAAGAATCTGCCGGCTGATTGTTGATATTGATAGACAAAGCTATAGACAAAGAAGACGTAAGGAGTATGGAGCGATTGTGTTGGTTGAAATGGACTACAGACTAAGGGAGATAATAATGGAATAGATAATGGGTCTCTCGGGGATTGTCGTTCGTTAGTCTATCATCTACCTTCTTTTTTCATTGCAACCACCCGCTTCGACCAACAGGATCCCTCCATATCCTTTTTGTCCTCGTTGTCTGTAGCTTTAGCTACCAATTTCCACAATCGGCCTACAGATTGACTTTTTTTAATTTTGCCGCCCTCTTAAAATGAGTCAGTGACAAAGAGTTAAGTTCTTCAAAATGTTCGCTCCTATTTAATTTTGACGAAGGGCAGCAAGTCACCTTTATAGTTTGAAATTTAAACAGAAGATTCCACTAATCGAGAAGAAAAATCAGGAAAATTTTCAAGAAATTACGTTGACTAATTTTCCCTCAAAAAATAAAGTATGACAGGAAGTCTGCAACGTTGCAAACGAAGAAACAAAATGTGAAGTTTTTATTTCAAATCAGGTTGGATCCAATTTTCTGAAATGTTTCTTAACACATACTAAAATTATGTTAAAAGTTTGAGCATTTTGTAAAATATTGAAGCGAAACAGCCCAAAAAAGCATTTTTTAACTAATATTCCGAAATTCAAAGTTAAATCTCGTGGACAAAGGAGTTATAGTAAAAAACAGGAGGTGCTATACAGGCGGAGAGAGTGATAATCGTGAGAAAAAACACCACGTGGCTCAAAGCAAACGTGGTTGTTACCTAATTTCACCATGCATGTCAATAACCGCGAGAAAAATTAGCATTCAAAACGATACCTAATGGATAAGAAATCAGATTTTCTGAACACTTAAATCAGTCGAATACTGAGTACAAAAAATCAAAAGTTCAGAACGGATGATCCTTGGACCCGAGTTAGCTAAATAAGGTGACTGTGGGCAGGTTAGATTTTTTATCGGGACGCGGAATAAATATAGTTTCCTCGGTTACTTTAAATTCTATTTTCGTACATCGACTTGATTTTAACCTCAGTGAGTGCAAGGGGAAAAAACTCAGTCTTGTCAAGTTTGTTAGTAAAGGGTGTTTTACAAGGCGCTAAGTGAATAAATATCGACGGTGTAAGTCCATAAGACGGTGTAAGTCCATAACCACCTATTATGTTTGCGGTGTTTGCGAATCTCCGCTCTTATTTATTTTTTTTTAAAAGAAAAAATCGATATCATTCCTTGAAGTTTTCGCAGGAGTTTTTTCGCATACAGAGAAGAAAAATCACGGCAGATTTTAGGAAAATCCGTTGATTGATTCTCTATTTAAAAAATAAAGTATGTTAGGCAGTTAGCTACGTCACAAACCAAGATACGTGGTTGTAGACTTGCACAGTCAATAAGTCGTCAAAATTGTCGGTGAGGGTTATTTGCATACTTTGATCAGCAAAGTCGATGTAAGTTAGTCAAATTCTAGGAAATAGCTCATTCTTTACATACAACGATTTATTATTTTCTATCCAGAATGTGGTTTAAGATGGTTGTTTGGAGCAGTTTTTTTAAGAAAACGACAATCGAAGGGCTTCCGAAACAAACGGGATATACGAGCAATTTTTGATTAAAATTGATATATTAATTGAGAAGATGATTATGGTGTTTTAAAATATATCCCGAGAAAAACATACTGCTTAAATTCAAATTTTAAGCATCAAAAATGCGAATCCTACAATCTTCCCACCGAGGATTCCAACAAACAATGGCACGTGCTCTCAAATATCTACAGCGAACGCTAATTGTCAATTTGTATGATAAATTACACTTGTAAAATTTATCGTCTTAGTGAAAGAATTAGGCTGCTTTTTCACATTTGCGCAGAATTGGCAAGCGTGCAAAGGGCAGAGAGGCATCTAAAAGTGAAAACAGGTTTTGAACGGACAGTAAAACTCATTATAATATCACTAGGGGATTTTCGGAATTTTTCATTCTTTGTTTGTAGGCAGACTCTCGTATTCAGGTGTGAATTTTCCTTGAAAAACATGTAAATGGATGTCTGCCCAGTCATTGCTCTGATAAGTTATGCTGTCGCTCTCGCTGGGGCTAACGGCGATTTTATGGCGGTTACATCCTATATACACTTCATTTTTTGGAGGTCAGCAGGTCCTTAAACGGACCTGACTTCACCGAGAAAGAATTCCCACATTTATGATTTGAATTTGATAATATGTAGGAAATTTATATAAGGCAGTAAAATTATGACAATTCACCGCTGTTGTAGTGTATTTCGTTTGTCAATATTTTTTTTTTTTCACAGGAAACATAACTTCCGAGATCTTTTAATGTCACAAATAAGAGCACAAAACTAATTGGTTGGCTGGTTGGCTGGTGAGTAATATTTTAAAATCCGGCAAAACTCATTAGTCTTCCCAACATTAAAACCATAATTTTTATTCCATCACGAAATCTGAATAGGATCATAGCCTAAAAAGTCATTCTCTACGGGATCAAAAAATGGATGATATCAGCTTTATTTGAAAGTAGACGGTTTTGTTGGACAAGAGTCACTGTCTCCCTTGTTAATACCCTTTATAGTCATTTTGGGGGCAGTAATGGGCGTATTTAAAACAGAATGGAATGTAGTGATCGAGTTGATGGGCTAAATCTCGTATTCCAACTGTAAAGTTTCAAGTTTCCATTGTATACATATACTTTTTTAAGAAGAAGTCAAATAAAAATTATGGCATAAAAATTGTTCAGATTATTCATTTTCAGATTTTATGGTTGTACTGTAAAAAATTCAAAATACGATGTCGATATCTTTTCTTTAAAAAAAAAAAAAAAAAAAAAAAAAAAAAAAAAAAAAATGTATGCATGGATACTTAGATTCATTGCCAATCAGATACGTGGTTTTGGAGTCCAATCAGCGACCTGAGGACTGATTATTGAAATTGATAAACAAAACGATAGACAAGGAAGACAAACTGAAAGGTTAGCGATCTTATGGGTGGAAGCGAGAGGTTGCAAAGGACAAAGGAGGTACGTAACGTAATAGATCTTCTAACGACAACCCATGAGAGACCCTGTAGTAAGTTCATCATTTCCTCCCTTAGTCCATATCAGCCACCCGCTTCAACCAGTAGGATCGCTCCGTGTTCCAAATGTCTTATTTTCCATCATTTTGTCAATCAGTTAATAATCAGTCCGCAGTCCACGATAGAGATGCGTCAATGTCTAGTTCTAATTCGAAAATGCATATATGATTAAGTGAGCATACAGTCAAATTCCAACAAATTCCTAATTGTTTGATCTAAGCTCTTGGTATCGAGATTTTATGGCGTAGGATTTGGTGTTAGAGGTGACGTCAGTCTTTGGGCGTTGGTCTTAGAAGTTGACATGCATTCATGTGTAATACTAAGAATAAACCGAAAATGGGACTTGTTTTGGAATTCAATCTCAGTTTAAGGCAATGAGGAATGTTTCAGTCCATAAGGCGTTGCAAATTCAATGTCAGGAGCTAGTTCTATTTTCGATAAGGTGAACCACCCTGTAACGGTGATTGAACATTTTTTAAGGAGGAAGCACATTAAATACGTACTGTGATCGAATATTTTCGAAGTCAAGTATGAAAGCAAACTTATGGTGAGCAAATACGGATGATGTAAATATAACCTGTGGATCATGGTAGTGGTGTATGGGAATAAAAGCAAATAATTTTGATACGTTGCGTTGATGCATAATGTGATTACACGATGTTGGTCTCTACCGACGTATTCGAAAACTTATATACATTGAAATCAAGCATGCTTTTACCTCAGCTTTCCCTTTTAGAAGAGTATTTATAGTTAGAATAACTAGTCAAAGATCATTGCTGTATGGTGCCGATGATTATTAGTAAGGAATACTTAAAGTAATAATTTTTCAATTTTCAGGTAATTTTATAATATAAATACGGAGGGAGATAAATTAAAATGTTCTAAGTATTAAAAGCATGCGGGATTTAAAGTGTAGAAATTAGGTGCACGTAAAATAGCTCAATGTGCTATTATCGGCACTTATTAGAGTCCCAATAGACATCATATCAAGTGGAATTATTAGGAATATCGGGATTGATTCCTGAAAGCTGAGCAAATCTCAAAATAACACGTAATAAAGATATCGTAGAATTTAGTTTTTAATGTAAAAACACCAGTTTAAGAATCTTAAAACCATGCGGCTCTAAGTAATCTTTTTCGATTTTAATCTTAGTTTTCTTAATGTAAAAAAGTTGTCCTCTAGCCCGATTGTTCACATTCTTGCTCATTTACATATTTTTACATTGAAGGCTTGGGGTGAGGGGAATGCATAAAATTATATTTTGATGAAAAGTAACCTCTAAAGAGGCTACTAATTTAATTACTATGAACTTTATGTTAATTTTGTCACCCTTAAGAGGAAATGTAAGAATTATAAACACTTATTCCTTTGAATCATGAACGCACTAACCGGATGATTTAAACAAATTATATTTTATCCTACTACCATGTTTCATAAAAGTGTATTCACCGATATTTTGTCCAATTTTTAAAAAGTAAAAACTTAAGATTATTTTGCAAAGCATTTAATGGAAAGAGTTAAATATATCTATGAACTGTGCATATTAAAAAAATGACCGAAGACATTTTTTAACGGACGCTACCTGATCTGAACTCACGTGTCAAAAAGTACTAAAAAGAAAGCTTTTCTCAAGTGTCGGATACAAAACCACTTTGAAACAATAGTCAAAAAAAGCTTTGACATGGAGGCAACCACTCTGAGTGACCCAGTGATAACGCATGCATTTGCGGTCCATGAAACATCTGGCGCAGAGCATGCGACGAGAGGCAGGGAAAAGTGATGAAAAGAGGTAAAAAGTGAGAGTACTTACAAGTTTGAACATATTGGTGTCTAGTTTAGGCCTGCTGGATGAACTGAAGTGGTATGCTGGTGGTAGCGGGCATTTAACTTAAACAGAGCCAGGCTCACCTTGGAGAGGGACAAGGCCAAATCGCGCTATTGAATTCGATCGCCGCGCCGCACCGTGGATCGAGTAAATCAGAGAGGTCGGACATGAAATGTTTAATTAAAACTGGAAATTTTGATGCTCAATTCGTCACATTTCAAATTTTCAGGGGTGCAATCAAAAGAAAATTTCACGAGGGAAGCAATGGAACAACTTTTAAAACCTCAAAGTTTTTTGTGGACGGAGTTATAAGCTTTTAAAGTTTCAAAAATTTGTCCGACTTCTTTAATTGAATCGTATCATTGTGCGTCGGTTGCTGCGCCGGCTCTTGGATCGCGTAGTCGCACATGAGATCCGGCGCCGGAAAATCTGGAACTTTGAACCAGTGACGTAAAAGCAAGCGGAGGAAAATCAGATCTCTGGTCGGATCATGTGATAGCCATCCCAGATACCTCCATTCATTTTTAAATGAGCCTTTTCAATAAATCGAAAACTCTCTGATTGCGCATTTTTTGTAAAATTTTGAAGGATCCATTTTCCATTAATTTCTCCATTTTTCTCCATTCATTATGTAGAAAACCTTTCTTAATAGGGAACTCACTGATTGCACATTTTTTGTAAAATTTTGTAGGAGATCTCACATCCAAACAGGCATTCTATTATCAACTTCGTTGTTTTGGAGTGTGCAACTTGGCAACGTTGCTACGGGAGCAGGAACAATTTCACGGGCATGAAAACTTGTACTTTACACGAGGGGTCATCATACTAAAAATTTACATCAGTATGGGCAAGGATGAGGTAGGGGGTTTTAATTTGTCATCATTAAGCCCATTTTGCTATTTTACCCCGAAAAAACTATCAAAACGCGATTATTTTTCGAGATTCCTCGACAATCTTTTTTGAAATTGGCTAAAAATCCATTAGGAAGCTCTTCTACAACTTCCCTTTTTAATTTTTGATGTACATTCAAACTTCATAATAAGGTATTTTAGGCGCACCGTGCAAACTAATTCATATACCTTGGAGACTTTAACGCTGAGATAGGAATGTAAGCGTTTTCGTAAATGACATAATAAATGCTGAAAATAAACATGAGTATTTTTACGAGTGAGCAATTCCTAATTTAAGCCCAATTGGAAGAAATTATTCTTCTAATTTGGAACTACAATTTCTGGCTTAGTGTAGGAACAACGTATGTACCATTAACTTTTCTACTACACAAATGTTTTTACGGATGAGCCAGATATATGAGTTCCAAATTGTACAAGGCAGTCCAATTGTAAAGCAACGAATAATTTAGATATCACGGAATTTGAATTTAACTTCCATGAAGTATAATTTTATGATTTTCCAGTTGGCTACTCAGCAACGTAGACATGTTTTTGAAATTTGTATCTAATACTACCCGAATCAGTTTTGAATATTCATAAAATTTCAACAAACTTTCAGTCAATCTGGCCGTCAATAATTTGGTCTGCATTTTGCAAGGATGAATTGCAAGTTTGGGCTCATCCATAAAATGACCTTCTACAAAGTGAAACTTATGGCACATACGGTGTTTCTAAAGTAAGCCAGAAGCAGTTGTATCCTATTGAAAAATGTAGTCCATTTGGCGAACAACGTGTCATTTTCTCACGACTTTTGACGTGCTTGTCCGAAGTCTCACATGTTCGGGACCACCGGACGTTGGATTAGATCCCGACGCCCGGGGACCTGATATTGATTCGGCGCCGCGACGCTGCGCATCGTGTTATGATCCACCGGCTACTTCTTCCCGCGTCAACGGACGCTGCACAACGCAACGGCCCGTTATTGGCATCTCTATCCTCTTACTGTGCATTTAACACCATGCATCGCCGAGACATAGACAGCATCTTCCCGAGGCCCTGCACCAGTTATTTATCAATGAACGAAGGAAAATTCTCCAGAGGTGGATCAAGCAATTTGGCACCACCGGATTTTTTCCATTTGAACTTATGCTAAATAATCGATTCTTGTCGGATCACCTGGCCTCTCCAAAAAACGATACATTTCCACAGGTTTAAATGGAGGAAAGATAATTTTGCCAATTTTCTGGACCGCCAATGATTATCTTTTGGGGATCCGACATTTACTTCATTTTTCTTCCGTGTTATCGAAGAGAGAGGTAACAAGCAAAAGTTTGAACTCAAGTTTTCTTAAGAAATCCGCCAATTTGATTTGAGTAAACTTCATAGTTTCGATAAAAAAAATAACGAAATTCGCTCTGTTTGTCATCAAGTACAGGGTTTGCCAGAGAGCAAAAAATGTGACGATATGGACGTTATTACTGACAAAAGAGGGCACATCGATGGTCAAAGTACAAAACCACGTATTTCCATTGCAGTGCTTCAAAATATTCGCTCCTATTTTACTTTTTCGGAGGGAAACAAGCCAGCTTTAAGTTTTGTAGATTATTCTGCCCAGAAAAAAAAAAATCCAGGAAATTCCCAAGAAATTACGACATGAAATATGACAGGAAGTCTACAACGTTGCAAATCGAGATACGTGGTTTCGCACTTTGGCTATCGATATTATTAATATCCTATTAGAGAGCTGTATTTACTGCTGTTTTGTTCAAATATATGGTATCCTTTGCCACGAATGCAACTTCCAATGTTGAAAATTGAAAATATGACCATACAACCACGTATGCAAAAGATCATATATACAGCCGCCCTCCCTAAAATGAAATGAGCAGTTCTCTTTTTTACAGACAGAGGCAACTTATATGATCGTTGAAAATGTCAAGAAGAATGGAGGACTTATTTAGTAAAATGTTTCACTATCATAACACTAGATCTAGTTTCTTAAAGTTTCATCTTTGGATATATCTTGTTCTTTTCGGTGTTATGACAGTTTTTGTATTTTTGCCAGATGATTGATAAATGTTGCCTTAAGATTTTACCGCCATTGTATGCCTACCAAACTGTACCTTGTCTATCAAACAGTTTAATAGCTCATCAGGCAGCATTGAGTGAAGGTAAGTATTGGGCACCGGAAGTAATTTTTAGATAGCATAGGTAATCGTTATACCGGCCATATTCAGGATCTAACTGAGATCTTAAGAACTGTAAATTGATACTTGCCTCAGTCATGTCATTGGCCAGCGGTGAAAGCTAGGATCATCGATTACCCGTTTTGAAGATTCTATTTTGATTATGTAAAGACGGTTTTTGCAAGGAATTCCTAGGATATTCATGTCCCTACCTCAAATTGTCCGTACTTCTCTACGAACTTCAAGTTCGGTAGGCACATGAATAGTGAAAATAGGAAATCATGCATCTCAAGTTGCATGCATGTCATTCTCCCACTTAGTTTGATTTTAAATGAAGAACACCATCATTGTTTTTTTCGTGCGATTTTTGACATCTTTTTTAAAAATGCTTTTTCAAAATTATGTACTATTGATGAATCATAATGAGACAAGATTATGTTTGAAATACTTCTTCTATATGGTTTCCTTCTGAAGCATGAGAAAAAACAGGGAAGAAGAAGCGGTCACAAATTCATCCCGAAAGGAGATATCAGTGATTGTATCAGTAGTTATCGGCACAATTGTGAGTCAACAAGTTCACGGCGTCATTTTTTGACGTATTGCGCTACATAAATAAAAACAGGACGTATTTATGCAACAGCACCTCATTTGGGTAGAAAACTTGTTTGCATCCAATTGTGTACGTTAATAATACTGAAGACTTTTATCTTGATTAGGTGATGTTACTTGTGAACTTATACGCTAAATTTATAGGAAGAATCATGCAGAGAAATAATTTTAACCACATTGTGTCAACTTTAAAAAGAATTTTTTTTTGCAAGAGAAAAACTGAATTACAAGGAGTAATTTTGAAGCATCGGAAATCAGATACTCGTACTTTTAATATTACAATCAATATTATGTGACAAGTCACAAAAGATCGGCGGGTGAATCCTTGAAAGGTAGTCTTATCAAGTTTTTCCCAGCTCGAGTCGTTCGAAAAATTTTACATAAAGAAACTTGATCTTTTGCGTACAGCAAAAATGCTTGAGAGCCTACGTTAAAGGCCACGGTGTCAGACGTATCATTAAATTCGTTTAAATAGGTGGTGCAAATATGAATGAATGATACAGGTTAGGTTCCTGTTCCGCCCTTGAGAGGGCTATTCATGGAGCTGTATCAGGTCAACACACCACATCAACGGTCATCGGTGGGATTGAAGTGCAAGCCCCCCAGCAAGGTTAGGCACTACGTCACAGGGAAGTGATTCCTTGGCTGTCGATCTAATTTTTTGCCGGACTATTTTTTTATATAATTCGCTTTGAATCTTTCTTCCTTGGCAAGTCTCGCGCCTTCGTTAGTCTTTGCCCTCTGTTTCCTGCACTGCGCGGACGTCATTTGTCGGTATAAGGTAGGATGGTTCTTTGACCACGGTATAGACGCTATTATTGTGGTGACGTCACTGTAAGGTTTCTCCGTTACATTGCACTAAATCCAAACAATGGTACTGACATAACCTCTGTTCGTCCTATATACAAATGAGGATAAATAGATGTATAATAGAGATTTTTGGGATGTAACGCTAACGACGTTTGTTGGCGTTCGAGGTAAGCTGAGAAAGATACATGTGACCGCAATTTTTAGTCACAATGAAATATCCAAAAGAGCATGATAGAAAAGTAATGGTTTTTTAAAATTATTATTTTACTCATTATTCTTTTGTTAATGTTCATACTTCAATAAGAAACTGAAGTAATAAAGGAAATTTTGGATCACTATACAATTATAATGCTTAATTTTTTCTCTTTGATTCCGCCGTTAATTTCGGTTAATTTACTCCAGCATTTCGGCAAAAATATGAAATACCTAATTTGAAGACTATTTTAATCAAATTGACGATTTGATTGCCAGGGTTGTTCATTAAACATTATTTGTATTGCTCCCTCCTCTCGTAGATCAGAATATTTTGAACCAATCAACTGGCTAATCACTGAAAAAAAAAAAATATTGAGATATTATTTTGGATGGACCCGGACCCCTTTGCTGATTAGGATTTCTCTCTTC